TCCAGCCAAGCAAGGCAATGCAAGGCGCATCATCCCCGTCGGAAAAAGGCTGCGCCAAACCCTCCTAGAAGGCAGCAGGGACCTACGGTGCATACTCCATACAGTTCCCCGAAACGAGTTCCCGATCGCCATCCGAGCGCTGATCGCTATCTGCCTACGAGACAGTGCCCAAGCGGGCGATGCAGCCGACGCCCCATGCTGTCAAAGTTTTCTATATTCAGTATACTTCAAGACATGCGTAGGCCCTTTGTACACGCTGTACAAGTACCGACCATGGCCGTAGATGATTGATGGATGGACTGCAACGACAGTGGTTTTAACCCAGCCACCTGTTCAGGCAACATCGATTGTTGAACGTTCACTTGCGGTTGACAGGCAGTGATCGACAATGCGTCAGGGGCTGTGATGAACTTATTCTTCACCGCCAAGAAGGTGGTGAAGTGGTCGTCGCTCGCATTTGCAAGTGTATGGAGGCGGTCCAGACGCCCGCATTGAGGGGTAATTAATCCTCTGATGCGTGGGAGTCCGTGAGTCCATCCCCAGAAAGACAAGTGTACAGTGTCTAGACGCTGTGGGTGGGTGTATTGTGACAACCCAACCACCCTGGAAATGAAGCAATCCATTGACTCCGCCAAGCAAATGATGTGCAGTATCAGCAAGGCTGGTGCTTGGCGGATTTCCCCCCTTGGGACTTTCAGTCTATCAATAGCCAACTGCACCGTGACGGGAATGGGAGGATGCAATGGATCTGGGACGATAAGGGAGGGCACTGAAAGGAAAATCCATGACGGGTGCAAATGACATAACAAGAAAGGCATCATCATCATCATCATCATCAGGCCATTTCGTAGGGGATCGCTACACCTACCTCACGCACCCTCCCTCACTACTAGTAGTAGTAGCTAGTACTAAGTCCCCAACTGTCCACTTTTCTCCCCCATGGAGTATCCGCACTCCATAATTTTTTTCCCCCCCTACCCCTATAATATAACCCGCATAAATGATCCCCATCATCATATCACCATCCATCATGGACGATAATCATAATACTAATAATCATTCTCATAATACTACTAATAATAATAATAATAGTAATAGTGCAAATTACCGCGTAGATGATCCACGATAATCCCCTCCGACCCAACCAACCAACCAACCAACCTCAAGAACAAGTCAATTCGCATTCTTCCTTCCCTCCAACCACCCCCTCACGTGACGGACTCCCCTCCTGAACGTTTTCTCCTGAAAGTCCAATCCCGCCAAGCCCACCCCCCAACCCATGCATTCCTCTACAACTATCGTTCTTGGCATGTCTACCGCCCCGAAATCCAAAGGGATACGCACGCACTGCCCCCTCCCTCCCTCCTTCTCCTTCTCCAGACAAGAAGAACAACAAGCAAATAGGCTCGACAATCAAGTCCAGAGTTTGACGGTAGGGGAGGAGATAGTTTGACTCTCCGCCAAGACCCTCCCAAAAAACAAAAAAAAAAAAAAAAGTATGTCGTGTCATTCGATCGACGAAGGGGTGGCGCAATTCACTTTCCTCCATTTTATTTGATTTTAATTTAGTTTATTTTGGCCCGATAAGATGGGTCTTTTTGTTTGTTGGCGCATTTTTTGAGTTGGATTGTTTCGGGCGATATGGTTTTTGGTACTCCGGGGCTCTGGGTTGAGATCTTCGAGGTCATGTGGGAGCGAGAGAAGGGGAAAGGAGAGAGATAGGATAGATAGGACAGATACGAGGGGAGATCTAGATCGGGGGTTCGAGTTGCGTTTGGTTGGGTTTGTTCTGTCTTGAAGATGGGGATCTAGAATGGGAGTACTTCGATATTCCATACATCGTTAAACTAATGACACTGTAGTAAGTCAGTCAGTCAACTACCATACCATTGAGCATGTACGTATTCCGTACCTAGTACAGAGTAAGGATGGTATCCTCCTCCTCCATACCATACCATACATACATCCATCATATCAAACCTCAGGAGACCCTGAAAAAGGGGGATGACAAATGACATCATCTACAATCTCATTCAGTCATTCATTCATTCATTCATTCATTCAGTCAGTCAGTCATTCAATCAAGATGTCATTCTGCAGTGCCACCACCGTTTCGAACGCCCCTCCCTCCGATCCACTTTACATTCTTGCCCGGCTGGCGGTGGCATTCTGGGCTGGGCGACAAGGTTGGCTGCGGTATGTTTGAAACAGGGCATGTTTGGCTTTGGTTTTAGGGTTTGGCTTGGATTGGTTTGGTTTTCTGGTTGCGTGCGGAAGAGCGTGTTTTGGAATTTGGGGGAGGGCGGTTTGAGAATGGAGGCGTGGGTGTGCTGGTGGTGTCGGGTTTGGTTTCAGGTGGAGCTGGGTTTGGGGGGGGTGTGGATGTGGGTTGGTGTTTAGTTGGTGAGGGGGATATCTTGTCGTGAAGTGGGTGGTGGTAGATAGGATGAATTGCTAACTGTGTGGGAATGGTTTATTATACATATGTATGTGGTGGTGTGAGGGAATATATATTTGTTGTTGAGGGTTGTATATAGATGTTTGTTCGGGTTGAACAACATGTTATATATATGTACATATATACCTCTACCCTATGGAACGTTCATGACTATAGAGAATATATACATGTGCTGTATTGCTGTCAATATATGAGAATTGGAACTAAATATATAAATACTACTATGGACTCTGGAGTTGATCAGGCGTATCTAGCACCAATTCTGCTTCATCGGCAAGGTGCCTGCACAGCTAGACGTTTCCATAGCTATGCTCTAACAAGTTCATAGAATCTTGATTAATAAGAGATTATATTGTCAGTCGCTGACTCAATTCCTATATATCATTTGGTATGGTCGATTGGGATATGCTAAGTTTAGGGATCCTATATAGATCACCAAGGTCGCTTTTCATATCAAGATGCTGGCAAGAACAGGTATCAGAGACGCGTACGGCGGTTCTGTACACAGGTACAAAAGCTTGGACAATGACACTCTTTCACTAACTGCAACATTGACGTGCATGTGTATATGTGGGGGAGTCTGTGTGTACAAACCCATCTTTCCACGGTGAGAAGTTCTGTCCAACCAGTGGTTGTGTATGATATGCCTCACGATCAGACTATATTACACTTCAGTTAACCTGTACCGCAGTAAACCCCCCCCCCCTCCCGGTAGCAAATGAGATATGGATCCCTTCCATGGAGAAGAGTATCGCGAGAATAGCCCAGTGATGAAAGTATAAAACCTATGATATGCTGCAAACACACCAGACTGATCACTAGAAAGTAACCTTCGCACCCACAGTGCAAGGCACCAGACTCCCCGGCATATGCTTCTCAATTGCAAACTTTGCCCTCCAACCAGAGCAATGTCCCGGCAGCAGAACAGCAGGGTCTAGTCTCTGAAGGTCTTTGACGGTGCTTTCCGTATCGGCCGCAGTGCTAGTAGCAAGATGAAAGCCCCCAACAACCGCATAAAGCGGAACAGAGCCATCGAAACTGTCAACCGCATGTCGTGAGCAGTTGACGACACCTGCATGGCTGCAGCCCGTGAACAGGACGAGTCCTTTGTCTGGAAAAGGCTACAGGTTAGAGACAACCTAGAATAAAAGAACGATGGGGATGGTCATTGATATCATACCCTTCAGATTACACACGAGAAAACGCTCGTCGGAAATAAGCTCATCAGAAAACCAATCCTTCTCCTCGGTGTCATAGCGCATGCCTCCTTTGACACCGTTTTCGTACGCCGTCTGGCGAGGGATTTCGCCAGAGATTAGGAAGAAATCGTCGAGGACAGTGTGTGCCTCGTCATGCTTTTGGATGGCTCCTCCAGCTGCTTCGAGCTCCTCGAAGGTAGGATCCGCCTGAAAGGAAACGATGTTCGGACCCAGGGCAAATCCGCGATAGTCGGGACGGTCAGGATGAAGATCGACTGACACTTTCCCTGTCTGACCCTTGGCTTTTTTGGCCTCAGATATCAATTCAATGGCTCGGACAAGGCCACCTGGGCTCTGTTAGCAGAGTTACCTGATGGACAACTCTCAAGAGTTAGTTGTGCATACCCGAATGGTCCCGGTGCCAATGTGATAATTGAACCAGCTCAACAGAAGACAAATCCGGCCGTAACCGCTTGACATTCCTCTCCCATATCTTGCCTTCAGGGCCTGCATCAAACAGAACTGAGTGTTTTACATCGCCTTTTGTAGCTGTCTAGAGACAATCAGTATACATTGTCGTCGGTTCCCCCGGACGGCAAGGAACATACCACAAGGATAGACAGACCATGCGCTGAACAGCAAATATCTTCCATTTGCAGTTCACTTCTGGCTTCACCTCGGTCATGTAATTCATGTGTTGAGTGTAGAGCAAGAGAACCCATCAGACCCGATACCTGGACGGTGTCTGGGGCAGGTGGGGAGAGAGGATCGAGCTCATTGTCGATGACGACAAGGGCTTCGAGAGAATCGACTTCTACGAGGTCTAGATCAGACATACTGGTGACGTATCAACATGGGTAGAAGATGTGAGGGTTTTGTAGTACTATGAGCGGAGAGATGGATAGTCAAAGCGGGGACCGAGGATAATTGTTCTTCCTTAGCCCTAAGATGACTTACACTCATCACAAGCGGTGATGAATGTCAGCTTTTTGTTTGATTATCTACATAAAAGATGGGAATGCTCTACTTGTAGACATTGGAAACCTCAGATGAGATAGGTGTATTGTGTTGGCTATTCTTGTGATATGAGATTGTGGATACAGATGTATGTGTGACAACAGAGTAAGATACATAACAAGAGATGTTAGACCATTGATATAATCCTCCTTAACAATCATGAATGCAGGGTATATAGCAGATGCATGATGAATTTCCTTTCCATTTCCATTCGAGTTCCAGACACTTTCCATCAAACTGTTGGTGATATCACTGATGCCACTTGCTGGCCCCTGTTAGAAGCCTGTTCCGACTCAGGAACATTGTTGGCCCCCACCCGCATAGACTCACAGGTGGATATAGACACCAGCCATATAGGGATCCATATAGGGGCCCCAGGTGGGTTCGGCCATGAGCCCCTGCTGGTACGGATACCACTGTGGTGGCATCTGGGGGTAGTATGTCTGAGGGTAGTATGCTTGGGGGTATGTCTGGGGGTATGGCTGGGGGTAGGAGGTCGGGGAGTAGGGCGTCGGGAACCCATTGACAGGCGGCATTGGCATTGGCTGCGGCCCAGCCTCGACCCGACTCCCTAGAGAACATATTAATACATTGAAGCAAGGCATTCATAGATAAATAAGTGCACTTACTCTCCCCGGTGGCCCTCTCAACTCTCAGAAGGCGGCTATGCAGCCGACATTGTCTGTCCAGGCTGAGAGCCCTTCCAGCATCTTCGGGGCGCTGCAGATCGTTAGTTTCATGCTGCAGAGAGCCTAATGAAGCACACAGTAAATGGCTTACTTCGTATTGGACGAACGCCCCAGGCAGCCTCTGGCCTGCTTTGGCTGTGCTATACAGCCCGACATAGCAGTGTCCGTACTGCCTGAATGCTTCATGCAAATCCTGCATGAGCTGTTGCTGCCCGACACTGATCGGAAGACTAAGAGCATGTTAGCATTCAATCAACATCGACGAGCCAGAGGAGTGATACATACTTTCCGACGAAGAGCCGGGCAGCTACACCGTGACGCCGTTGGACGTCTTTGAATGTGACCTGAGGTTCGTTCTCAGGTCGAGGGTAAAACTGATTCCCTTGATCGCTTTGGTGGGAATCGGAAGAAGGGGGAGACTGAGGGTGGATGCTCGTTTGGTTGATGTGGTTCTGCATCCTTGAAAATGCCTTGTACTGGTTTGTTATGAGATAGAAGATGTGTATGATAATAAAAAGTAGATTTGTGTTGTTGTGGTGAGAGATGGATGGATGGGTGTGTTTGGGGAGTATGGAAGGAACGAACAGAGGAAAAGGCAGAAGAGTCGCCTGATTTACGAATGTGGAAGTAACGCTCACAGTGAGCTCAGAATGCGATAATCGTTTTCTTTTCTTTGTTCCTGAATTTTCTGGTATATCTGCTTAGGTTCTTACAAAAACGCAGAAACGTAGACAAGTTTACGGTCGAGCCCTAGGGAGAGGCCTGCTACCATGGCTACTTATTGGAGGTTAACGGTGAAAGAGAGCCCAGGAGACACTACAGAAGAAGTGACTATGCGCCTGTTGAATATTATGAATTGGTTTTATGAGCATTGCTGGTCTAAGCGACGTTAACGGCGACTTTCATAGCCATGACGATATCCCAATGGCTCTCCGCAGAACTACATACCACATACTGTCATTTAATACGAATCTCAATGGAAAATACAGAAGGGCTCAACATTTGAGATAGTTTTGTAAATGTTTCAGGCAGACCTTGAAGAGAATGTCACCTCATTGGGCACCGTATCTCGCGGAACGAGGGACCAACGGCGGTATGCTCCAGCTCTAAGTGCTGAGGCCGTCACCTAATTCAATTAAGAATAGCTAGTAATGTTGCGTGAATAGACACAAATGATTTCACGGTCGACTACTTCCCCCACTGACTGCAATAGATCCAGATATCTACATTGAACTAAGAAAGCCGTCGTCTTCGTGCAGTCATGGAATCCCCGGATCTCTAAGAAAGTGAAGCTAGAACTTGTTTCTCTCGTACTACTGCCAAAGAAATAGGAATTGCAACAGGCAGATCGATTAGAATCATTGCCTTCCATAGAGATATCTGTGGCCAGGAAGTTAGATCGAGTTGTGTTCGTTGTATATGTGCTATCCCCTCCGCTAGCCGTCATAGTTTTCTAGATGCAGAATGACATACTTCGAGTCGACCAGTTAGAAGGAGAATAAGATACCTTTGGTAATTATTACTGGAAGCCTAATGGCTGTGCCTGATTTCAATGACTGTTGATTGTTATCTTATGCGGACGTCATCAGCGACGGTTATTGGATAAAACCACAAGGACAACATTTTACATTGGAGATGAGTCTTGCTTATGACTCGCTGTAACTCTATTGAGCCGGGACATAATTACTAGTAATGAAGAGATTGTTGTTGATAGAATCGTATGAATGTCGTTCTCAAGTTGCATAGATCAATTTCCCGATTGGGATGATTTAGGGCTGAGTTTGGCGGCGTCTACTCTACTGATCCTCTCACGCTGTTGAACGATAGCTAGGTGAAGAAATCCTGATCTACAGATACTTCGAGCTTCCTCCATAGCATATACCAGAGATATCGATATATAGTGCATTTTACTCAACTTCTTCCTTTTGTAGTAATAAATATACCTAAATTCATCCCGAAGGCGGTGAGCAGGGGTTATGTTATCAATCAGTTCTCACGCGACGTCATTTCGATCGACCCCGAATTCCGAGTTTCTTCTTGCCGACCGTTTTATGTGGACTTTGAACTACCAAATCTCTCCTCTACAACAGCCACAACAATTGCACCATGTTTCCCACAGCACGGTGCTTCGCTGCGAAGCCCGCAGGATTCTTCAAGCGCAGCGCAGACGAACTGGGTCGCCTGTCAAAAATCGGTACTTTAGATCCCCATTTCCTACGGTTGGACCGCCGATGGATGGCTCTTGCGATCTTTACCTGCTAATACCTTGGTTCTACATAGCCTGGAACTCGGAAGCGCTACACACCCCAACGAAACCCTACGTCCTCCTCGATTTCGAGGATGATTCCGCTGTCGCCGGATGCAAGACCATGGCCGACCGCGCCGTCGGAGGATTCAGCACGGCCAGCTTAGACTACGTCCCTGCGGACCCAGCGACACAATCGCCCGCGCACGCCCGATTCCACGGAAGTATCTCGACGAAGCTACCCAATAACTGGCGCGTAGAGCGGACGGGTACGGTGCCCCGGATCCAACCCTGCCGGTAACAAGGAATTGACAACAGAGCGATGCTAAAACAGGATACGCGGCCTTCCGTAACAAAGACCGGGGCCTCTGGCTCTTCGGACGACTTTTCTGGGATATGGATCCCTACTCCTACCTCGCCTTGCGCGTGAAATCCGACGGACGCCGCTACACCGTGAACATCCAGACGGATTCGATCGTCGAGACGGATATCCACCAGCACCGACTGTATACTCGGCATCATAGGGTTCAGGAGGCTTCGGATGAGTACCTCTCGTCGCGGGAGGCGGCGGAGGCGTCTGAGTTGGCGGACGAGCTGTACCCCAGTGGCATACCGCCTTCTCTCTCGGATGTTCCGCCCGAATCGACTGTCATGTCGACGTCGACTACTACGGAGACGGCCGGAACGACAGGTTGGGAGACAATCTTGTTACCGCTTAACGCGTTCGTTCGCACGAACCATGGATTGGTGGTTGAGCCGCAGACTAATATCCTGCGGCAGCGGGTGAAGAGTATCGGTATTGGACTTACGGACCGGGTGGAGGGTCCGTATGATCTGCGCATCCATAAGATCTGGGCTACGAATGGGATGAGTGAGGCGGAGCTTGAGGAGGAGAGACGTATCTGTGGCGTGGATGCCTTGCCTCTGGACGAGGGTGTCCGGACTGGCTGGACGCAGGAGTCTGCGCAGCAACATGCGAGTCAACCTGAGGCGCCGAAAGCGAAGAAGGGATTGAAGGCGTTGCGTTCCGAGTGGGATCAATAAATGGATACCAGGTTCAATTTGTATAGTAATTGCTATTTTTTTTTTTAGGTCTCTATACCAGTTTTCTACCTGACCAGTGACTGAGGGTAAGGATTTCCAGACACGTTACACTTGAGCGTTATATACTCTACGTTTTCATATTTTGACATAAACCGTTTCGGTCCATGCTTACCCACACTCCCCTGACTAGGCCATAGCAGCCTTAGTTACCACCAGTGATCCGCTCCCATGCCTCACGGTACTTAGCGCTAGTCTTCTGTGCAATCTCGTCGGTCATGCGTACACCAGGCTTGCCCTTCAGTCCCTGGCTCGTCAGCCAGTCCCGCAAGAACTGCTTATCGAAGCTCTGCTGTCCACGACCAATCTCGTACGAGTCTTTAGGCCAGAAACGCGATGAATCAGGAGTGAGGACCTCATCGGCCAGCACAACCTCGTTAGTCTCAGGATCCAAACCGAACTCGAACTTGGTGTCAGCGATGATCACACCGCGAGTGAGGGCGTACTCGTGAGCGACGTTGTAAAGCTGAATCGCGAGAGAGGCGATCTTAGAGGCATAGGGCTCACCGACAAGAGCAACGGCTACAGCATCAACTGATTAGCAAAATGATCCATGGCCGCGAAAAAAAAAAACCGAATAAAACAAATTAGACCAGCCAGTGCTCCGAAATCGGAGCCTGATATAGACATACCCTGATCCGGATGGATGTTCTCATCATGCTCGCCCTGCTCCGCCTTGGTGCTGGGGGTGTAGATAGGACCACCGGGGAAGGCCTCGCTCTCCCTCAGACCCTCGGCGACCTTGATGCCGTGCACCGTGCCCGATTTCTTGTACTCGCTCCAGGCGGACCCGGTGATGTAACCGCGGACGATGGCCTCAATGGGGAGGATCTTCAGCTTGCGCACCTGCATACTTCTGTTCTGAAGGACGGGACGCAGCGACTCGGGGATTTGAGGCGGGAGGTCGAGGGTGAGGAAGTGGGTGCGGAGAGAGGGAATGGCATCGGAGAGGATCTTGAACCAGGTTTTCGTGCACAGGGTCAGGAGGATGCCTTTTTCGGGGATTCCCTGTCATTGCTGCGTTAGTGATACCATTGAGGATTGAGGGAAGTGTGTGAGAGAGAAGTGAACAGGGAGAGGGACGTGGTACATTCTCCATGATCACATCGTACGCGGAGATGCGGTCCGTTGCGACGAAGAGGAGGGTCTTCTCGTCGACATCGTACAGGTCGCGAACCTTTCCTCGAGCGATAAGAGGGAGGACACCTTGAAGGTCGGTGTTTGTCAGAGCTTCAGACATGGTGGGATTCTGTAGAATTGGCAGTATAAAGGGGGGGTTAAGTGTCCAGCGATGAGGTCGAGTCATAAAAAGTTGGGGACGATAATCGATAAGCGGGTCACTTTTTTCGTGGCGGGGTTGCAGGCCTGAGGCAGTCAACCCCGCCATATCAGAGAAGTCTACCATCTACTGGTGAGCCAGGGGCATAATCGAGCTATTTTAAGTGGGAAGTAAATCTGATTTGTTTATGGATTAAGCTTAAAGTGATACATTGCTCCCCAATGGTGGCCGATGGGTTATCTGGTTCCCAGCTCACGCCACCTTCGTTGGAGACATTGAAGATGCTAGTCCACAAACAGAGCCTGGCGAGCCCGAATGAACTCTTGTCTCTCCTCAGCCCATTCTGGTTTCACAGAAGACAGTGGGAAAGGCTTCTCGGCACCGGGGAGGAGCATATCGGGATCGATTGTGCGAATCTTGGTGCCACGAGGTAGACGTAGAGAATCTTCCGCATGCGGCCCTGCTTCGATGTCTTCAATCGTCTCCAATCCTTTCGAGTCAACTTTACTTTTGAGGAGCTCCCAGAATTCGCGATCCGATAGACTCCATAGAACCTCTTCCTTCAACAATCCTCGTTGCACCAGGTCACCAATCAACTGACCTATCTTCCTGGACATGACGGCATGAGCCGGGTTGCACCACACGTCCCTATCGCATTCGGCATAGGCCCTAGCATAAGCCAAGGCCAAATCAATTTCTTGAAGGACCAGCAAGCGATGTGGTGAAGACGCGTCCGGGAACGCGGTGAATGAATCATACACGCGGCGCGCATCCTCTATCGCAAGTTTGCCGAAGGCGACAGCGCCTCGTAGAGAGTAATCGAGACGATCAGAACAGAGATGAGGAGCGGGCATCTCCACCAGAGGGTAGAGCTCCTCATCGAACGGCTTTAGATCAACGAAGCCATGCTTGGTCAGTATTTGTGGCAGCTCCGTGGTCATGATATACCGCGACTTTTGGACCTCATGATAGCTCTCCCCGGGCTTTGACAAGGCCCCATCGACGTCATGGCTGAGCACTGTGTGGCTGATGTCGTGCAGAAGACCTGCGACTTGCTCCCCAACGCTTGCGCCAACTTTGCGCACTAACAGCAACGCGCCGATGGAGTGCTCTAACCGAGTCACTGTCTGAGTGATACCCAGCAGATCGGTTTGGCCATGGAGACCGATTCCTGCGAGTCGGAGTAGAGCTGGGCACCGAAGCAGCTCGGCTAGAACCGGCTCGGAGATGATGTGCTCCCCGTAAATTTGGTCTTGTATAAGCACCGTATTGTCAGGGCGAAACGTGAGGGTTTGGAAGGAACCCGCATGCAAAGAGGAAGACATTGTGTGGCAGTCGGGTGGTTGTTTGGGAGATAAAATGAATATTGGTTGGTCTTCTGAAGCTTGTCTGTTACTAGTGCATTTCTCTGCTTGGCTTTTCTCTGCCCAATGTTTGTTTCTCTTACTTCTGAACCCCGCATTCCAATCTCTGGGTGCGCCAGATCGACTGCAACTCTGAAGATCAGTATTTCCGAGGTTCTGCAACCGACTAGTAACCGTGGGATGAAACTGGAGTATGTGCACTCTTGTGGTCGAGGGAAATGATGGGAAACAGTCAATAGAGGTGCAGATTATGGATCGAGTAGGAGAATGATACCATTTATATAGGTGCATCTGGCGCCCTTTCCGTGAATCTCCATATAAGAAAAGCCCCACAGGATCTAGAATGAATCATGCCACTAGAGCCAAGTGAATGGACATGATGGATATCACAACAAAATAAACATCTATGAACTTCCACTCGCAGTCGACGACGGCTGTATCAGTAGCAATTCGAGGCAAGGCCCTCCGACAAGGGATTATTAGGAGCTCCTTACTGAGAGGATACGTAGTCGAATCTTCTGTCCTCCTACTTCATTGACCATACATTTCATTCGTGTACTTAGCCTTTGGAAGAGTATACAGAATCAGTTACTTCCCGCAGTGCTAGGTATGTGTCAAAAAGGAAAAGAGAAAATCATCAATATACATAAACAACATATCATTAGTGTTGACTCTTTGCAGCATGATATATTCCCAAGTTGCCCGTAACACTGCAGAAAGTTGAGAGCTGCCAGAGGCCGCATATCTCTCTTTAGGCGACAAGATGCAGCTAATTTCAAGACTTGAAATGGACTGCTCCATCTATCTCACAAGTATATTATCTGCGGTATATTAATTGACACAGTAAGCTACTTCGTCTTTCTCTTTCTTTATTCCTCATTATTTTCTTCTCTGGACAAGGGCCAATGTAGCCCCAAAGAGGAGCTAGGCATCCAGCCCTAACTTTTCAATATCCTGAAAAGAGACCCACCATAACGGCAAGGATGGACTATCAGTTAGCTCAGAGAACGGACCAATGACTATTAATCTGAATTGAGAAAAAATCAACTAGCTTTATAGTAGGTTAAGGCTGACTTTGCCGTGCTCCTTACCCACAAGCTAGCAACAGGGAGTTGAATCCGTGTCCCTGTCAGATTACTAGTATCTCCGATCCGAGACAAAACAACCTCAAGAGACTAAAGTCAAGAAGAGGAGCAGGCAAGACAAATCTATTCTAGGAACCAAGAATGTAATTATAACGAATTAGACTCCGTGCCTGAGCACCATCGACAGTGTTGCAATTCTGCAATGACCCAGTGGAATACCCTGGGTCACTTGAACGAGTGCATATGAATGAGAGCATCTGCTGGTCGCCTAGAATGTCCCATTGAGTCGTGGAAGAGGATCATTGCGCTCTGTCTGCTTGGATCCAGTCCAGGAGTGATGTCACTCTTGAGAGTCGTCCATAGCCACAAGTGTCCAGGTACTGCTGGAGGAGTATTCGAACAAAGTTGCAGCAAACGCCCATAAAAACACATCTCATTACTCATCTCGTGTAGAGGCTGATAGCCGTATATTAAATAAAACATAGACGCATGTATCTTCATAGCCAGGGCGTTTTCATCACGCCCTCTGCCATTCCTTGAATCGCCATCGTGCTCAGCAGTGGTCGGTAGACTTGCACCACCCGACGCATATAGCCACGATAATAGCGATGATAAGAACTTTATGTACGATCAGCCAAACCCAGTCTATTAGAAGTCCAATGGATAAACCAGTATACTTACTGCAAACCAGCAGGATGTACCACTTATACTTTCTCGCGTTGCGAGCACTTATAATCGCATGGCCGATCTTTTCATTTCCCTTCTCATAGTTGAATGCCGTTTTCTCTGCATTTTCCTCGATGGTCTCGACCATCGGTTCGTGCGCGCGAACAAGCTCGGCCACTTGCTGAGACAGCTCGCTCAGGGCCATCAGATCCTGTTCAATCTTGCGGATGGCAGCCGATCGCTCCATGACAGCAGCCTGTGCATCTCTCGCTTGACGAGTTCGGGCCCCTTGCACCTGCAACCAGTTAGTTCACTATACACTCACTCACATGTCCATATTCCCTGGGGCCTTCGAAGTAGAATATAATTAAAAATGTGTAAATACCTGAAAGACCATCTCTGTCCCTGCCAACACCTGCTGGACCCCATGCTCTACCTCTTCGGGCGATGCCTCGGGGTTCGCAATCTCATATCGCCGCCACACCTGGTCCCGGAGCGCGCGATCAAACTCCGTCTGCGACCGATAATAGTCCTGAATTGCCTGCTGCACTTGGTTCTTCGTGGCATCGACTTGTGCGCGCACGCGCGGATCACTTGGATCCGCAAGATATCTGAGCTCATCTACCAGCGTGCGGACTTGCTGGAGGGCGTTGTTGATACTGGAGTGCACATCTTCGAGCTCCTGGCGGGCTGATTGATCGTCTGACAAGGTGGTGGAGTTGAGGAGGGCTTGCTGTGCGGCATGAAGATTTGAGTCGCGGAGGGTTTGAATCTGATTGAGCTCGTGGGTGATTTGCTGGCGTTTGGTGAGAACGGGGGTCAACTTGTTGATTTCGAGGTCTAGAGAAGTGGTGGGTGTTACTATTTGATTAGGGCTTGGAGGTGTTGAGGTTGGGTTTGGGTTTGGGTTTGGGTTTAGTTTACCATAGCCTTGTTCCAGGGCGCTGTAGTTGATACTTGTTGTTGCCATGGTGCTAATATGGTCTTGGATGGTTTAGAAAATAATTACAATTGAACACTGGACTGAAAAATCCGCGGTGGGTTTATATTGATGGATTTCGAATGAGACTGGGGGTTCTATTTTAAGAGCTGGGAAATGCGGAGGCCTGAGGTTAGCGTAAGGCAGTGCTGCATCCATTCTCTACGCTCTGAGCGACTGAGCCGCAGCGCGATCGACAAGAGAGTAAGCACTAAGAAGGCCCGAGGCAGTGCTACAACCCCTCCATTGGTTATGTGGGATCTTGAAGTTGGTCTTGACCCGCATATGTCCGACCAAACATTGGCAGGTACATTGGGTGGTGTCTGACACAAAAAGAGTTCAGGATCTAGATGCATGGCACTGCAGTTTGACTCACACCGTTCCTACAAAGATGCCATTAAAGACTAGCTTAGCTGTCCAACTTGGAGAGCACTTCGTTTAAACAACTAGCAGGTGTGAATCGAGTGGACGATCTTGATCGGAATGCACCTTCTCCGACTACCAAACGAGCTCCTACAATTGGTCGCAGGCAACCTGTCCACGGACGCAGACCTGAACGCTTTAATCCAAACCCATAGTCGCTTTTACCACCTGCTACAAACGTATTTGTTCGAGCACAATGTCCGTTATGGCGAAAGCTCTGCCCTCGTCTGGGCCGCAGCACTTGGCCATATAGAGATAGCAAAAAGGGCACTTCGAGCGAAAGCAGATGCCAACACCCTTGGCCCTCTCCACCGTTCTCTCTTCGGTCTCAACTTGCGTACTTGTCCGAGCATCGTCTTGCCTGCCGATCATGTGTGGGAAGGGCACTTCCCCGACCGTCGGCGCAGGTCAACGCCGATCATGCTTGCGGCAGTGTGTGGACATAAGGAGATCGTTGAGCTTTTGGTCCATCACGGCGCCGACATCAATCGCGAAGTCGGTGTTTGCACCCCTGTCCTCGGAGCGATAGCACATGCGCATGCTGATGTTGTGGAGTACTTACTGATCACTGGTGCTGATCTGGATGTCATCCTGCAAGGTTTCTGGTGGTATAATCCCCTCGAACTCGCAGCGCATGAAGGACATGTGGAGGTGGTGAATGTACTGCTTCGGCATGGTGTTGATCCCAACAAGTCCTCACCACTCGCGCTTGCGGCAGCAATGGGCAGAGTGGAGGCGGCGCGTGCCCTACTTGAAGGGGGAGCAAGCATCGAGGAAAGAAGTACTAATAATCATATGGATGCATTCTTTAATGCAGTGGATAGAAATGAAGCAACGATAGTCGGCTTGTTGATCGACTATGGGGCGAGCCTTGAACGCAGAGATGACGACGACATGACTCCCCTCGCATTTGCCGCTCGATGGAAAAGTGTTAAAGCTGCTGAGGTACTTCTTCATCATGGTGCCAACGTCAACGCCTTGGTACATGGCTCCACGGCGTTATCTTTCGCGATTGAAGAAGGAAATGTGTCGGCGGTGAAACTACTGCTTGAGAACGGTGCTGATTTAACCATAACGAACGAGCCGTTTCTTTTAGGAGTACTTAAGAGAAGTCACGATCAGAAGGTGGACACCGCAATAGTCGAGCTGCTACTAAGTCACAAGGCCGATCCTAACTGCTGTGACCAGAAAGGGAGGACGCCGTTGTTCCTTGCGACAGTTAAACATAATCTCGACATCATGAGGTTATTGCTTGCGCACGGAGCCAATCCAAACCGAGAAGACGAGGAAATTGATTTATTATCGTGGGCCTTTCTGAAAGGCCATGAAGACGTAGTGAAGCTGTTACTCGCTTATGGCGCCAGGGAATCATGGGTCAGAGGCGATCACACCATGAGACTCTGAGGTGGATATGGCCATCAATTTCGTCATGCCTTCGTGTATAACGATTCTTCTGAGGAGCCACTTACTCTTTGTCGAATCCCTATCCATCCTTGAGAATCTCAAGATTGCAGAAGAGTGCTACCTCAGCGCTGGATCCAATATCTAGTCTGCTATAATCCCGTGAGATCATAATACTTCTGTCTGCCAGCCACCAACAATGGAGACCAAGCTCAGGTGCCTCGGTCGAAGGTTTTATGCTTCGGATGACGTTGGAATATTGGATGATGACAGTGACTGGGACGGTGGGTGCTTTCCTAGTGGATCTAGATCGGAAGATCTGTATGGAAGTATGACTGTCGACCTGTTACAAGAGACCGCTCTAACAGTGTCAAGACCTACCCTCAGACGTGAATATGGTTGAAAGTAGCGTGTTGCTAGAGACTTCCTCTTGCTTTTCAACGTCTACCGAAGGGAACGAAGAAGCTAGCGATATTTGCAGCGACGACATGGAAAAGATTGATGAGAGCTTTATCGAAAAGCTTGAGGCCAGGGCTCTCATGGCTCTTCTAATCCACGACTTCGTTAAAATGAAGCCCATCCGATCCATAATAGACAGCTTTACGCAGCCACGACTAGTAGATGTGGTTAGGAAGCTCTTAGAGCTTGATGAAGTTTCAGGTCCAGCAGCACAGAATGACAACGTACAGGATAACATACGGTCACCCTTCATCAGAAGTGAAGGATGTTATTTAGAGGCACATTGTGAAAGAGCTACCATGCCCTGATGACGAGGTAATTACCAGCATTCGTACGTTATATTGCATTGGCAATCATCTCTGCAAGAAGAATAAATCGCAACTGAAACAGTTGCTGGATGAGGGGCTCAATGATTCTCACACGGCGAAATTATATACCATTCTCGAGGAACGAATCCGAGCGTTGCAGAAGAGACAAGACGTCAAATCCTTACGGAAGCGCACTGGATATTAGATTATCTCGAAGGACCAGCAAGTTATTGATGGGAAATTCTTAAACAGCATCTATTGTAAGCCTTAGGGAACTTCACCTGCAAAGCAGTCACTTACGTAGTAGTGTTGTGGCCCTTCTTTGCTCCATTGATTTTAATTGATTCTCCTCGTGTTCGGCAAATTAGCGTCAGTTGATTTGCAAGATCGCCTTGACGGTGGCTGGGATTTCAAACTCTTCGTATAAACTCGCTAGACCCGACACCTCCACGACTGGTGTAGATCCTAAAACTCAGGGCGCTGACTTTAGTGGGAGATGCTGGAGAAAATGGCGGAGACAAACAATCAGAGTAGCGCTACCCTATCCACCCAAAGCGAGCCCGGAGATTTATATGAATATGAGCCATTGCCCACCCCCACGTCCATTAGACTCATAAAGGTGGAGGGCAAAGACCAAGACGGGGCAGTCCATGTGCGCCTAAAGACCATTGATCTAAAAGACGCGCCTTGGTATCACGCCGTCTCCTACACCTGGGGAAACCCACACACGGAGTTACCCCACGCTCAAGCAACTCATGCGGCTTACTCTCAAAAGTATCCGCCTGAGTACCGAGAGCCTATAGTGGCAAACGGGAAACGTCTCTATGTCAGTCGAAGCGCATATGACGTCCTAGTTTCCGTGCCGAAGGACGCTTGGGCGAAGCGATGCAACCAGAGAAATCCCAATAACCAACTTCGCGCGAGTATCCATTCAGCCTGTATGACGAACAAGATAGAGTTTGTCGAGGAGCTGATCTCTGCCGGGGTTGACATAAATGTTCAAGATGAACTTGGCCGGACTCCGCTGTCCTATGCCGCAAGACTTGGGAAGCCTGATTTTGTGGAGCTCTTGCTCGCTGCTGGTGCCGATCCCAACATGGTTGATGAGAATAACGACCGGCCTGTCGATCATGCTCGGGAAAGCGGAGTGGACGAGGTTATCAAATGCCTCGAAGAGGCCGAGAAAAGAGATAAAGCGGATGGTCCTGCCACATCATGGCCCGAGGGCCCCCAGATGTGGTGTTGGGTCGACCAGATCTGTATTGATCAGAGCAACCTCGAAGAGAGAGCTTCACAGGTGTCAATCATGGACCAGATCTACGAATGTGCTTCTTACACTCTTATATGGCTCGGGTTAGAGGACGCTTATACCGAGACTGCTGTCGAGACGATCTGCAAACTGTATTCCGCGCAAGGAGATTTTATTCATGGCAATGACATTATTCCCTACAAGCACCAGCCCCAGGAGATATACGACACGGCTGATATTCCGTATGTTTCGCTAGCAGAGTGGACGGCTGTCGCGACGCTTTTTCTACGGCCGTATCTAAGAAGACTCTGGGTGATACAAGAGAATATTCTCTCCGACACATGTCTTGGATATTGCGGTAGGTTCGAGGTGCCTTGGCGGGCATTCTGCACAGTTGCGCAACAGATCTACTTCCGGCAGCTCGTTCTGGGGAGGGTTACTTCAACGGAGTTCATCGACATCAACAGTCCCGTGGTGGCCATCGAGAGTGAGATAGTGCATCTGACGCAGTGGAAAGATCGCCTACAGAGGGGCGACCAAGCTTCTATGCCCAAAGCCCTCTCGTTAGAGAACCTCCTCTTCGAGACCTGGACCTTCCGCGCCACCGACCCAAGAGACAAGGTATTTGGGCTTTACGGTCTGTTGGCCAAAGCTGGAACTGTCCCCTGGAAGCCGGACTATTCGAAATCTGCCGCGCAAGTCTACGCAGATGCCACAAAAGAAGTGATGAGGAACGCCGGTGAACTGCGCATGCTGTCTGCCGTCCTCGATCGTTCGCTCCACAACATCTCAGACCTCCCGTCGTGGGTTCCCGACTACAGCGTCCCGTTTTGCAACATGATGTGCGCTAATTACAACGCTGCTGGACATCTGCCCCAGCAGGCTATCCAACCCGCCCCTTGGAACATACTCACAGTATCCGGACTGAAAATCGATACCGTCCTGCAAACGGGAAACACCACTTCTGGGCCCAAACAGATCTCCATGTTCTTCGACGCACGCTGGTTCGAGCTCGCCTTGCTCGTCCCACACCCTTACCACAACAGCCAGGCACGAACCGAAGCACTGTGGCGCACATTATGCGCGGACCAGAAGAAAGACGGCTCATTCCCAGCGCCTACAGCGTACGGGGCCCTTTTCCGAAACATGCTGTGCAGACTTACCTGTGTTAAAGCAGAGGAGACCGCCAGAGCTGCTGAGCAAGATCCAAATGTAGTGGTGCTTGAGGCAGCCCTATACCATATCCGACAGATTCTGTCAAATCCGCCGATTTCGAATCTCTCGCTCGAAGATATTCAACGCACCTTTGGAGACCCAGACACAAATCTCAGCAGCCCTGACCTCCAGACTCTCACTCATCTTCTTTACAAACTCCATTTTCTCGGCGTGGTGGAGGAGGATCCCTGGACGCCGACTATTGATGAGATCGAGGGGTCTTACCGTAGTGCGAAATGGCAGACATGGGAGGAGAGCAGTGCACTTCCTGGCGATGGTATCGAGTACCACGAGGCACTCCGAAGTAAGCATGGTAGACGGTGTCTGTTTGTAACCGAGAAGCGGTTTCTCGGGCTTGGTCCTGCATCGATGCTCGATGGAGATGAGGTGTGGGTTGTACCTGGTGCTGGTGCTGCATTCATTCTAAGGCCAGTTGGGCAGGGAACATTTGCTTTGGTTGGTGAGGCATACGTGCATGGAGCCATGAATGGGGAGGTGATTGAACAAAGTGGCGCGGGCCTTTCTAGTATTCGTCTTGTCTAGGACATTGAACAATCTAGAGACTTGGGTACCAAACAATACTAAGAGATTCTGATCTGGTTATTGCTTGTTGGTGAAAGACCCATCTCTCATACCTAAGAGTGGTGGCTATAGCTTATATTATATGGTTACTGGTGAGAGAGATATTTTGGTTTATCTATACAGTTATATTGACGTAAATACATAATAGGACATTAGAGAGCTAGAGTCTAATTCTAAAAAGCAAAGCAATAAACACCGTCAATCTGGTTATAAGAATGTAGCGCGGTAAGTCCGCTTCTCAGCATTCAAGTCTCACGGAGAGACTCTTACAGCTTGCTGGAGAAGTAGGGAATGTTCTTCTGCTCATACAATTCCCTGTACTGAGCCTTGATGATATCGGCACCCTGTGAAACGATCGATATTAGTTATACTGTACTTCAGAAACTTGAAGGGACTCCATGTTCTCACCTTTTCACCGATCATGTAGACCGAGTTCTGGATACGGCAGTCAGGGATGACAGGCATGATCGAGGCATCGGCAACGCGGAGGTTCTTAATGCCATGGACCCGCAACTTGCTGTCAACGACACCCTGTTGGACGTTCTTACCCAGACGGGCGGTACCACAAGGGTCTAGAACGGTGTTAGTTATTGCATCTCAAATTATGCCGGAAAAGTGAATACTTACGGAATCCAGTCTGACTGCGGTCCAAGACAGCCTTGTTCATGGCCTCGTCGGAGTCGAGGGGCATGTTCCAGGGGTACTCCTCGAGGACGAGATCCTTGAAGCCCTCGCCCTTGGTGAGGACATCGTAAGTCCACCTGACACCCTCACGCATGGCCAGGACGTCGAGGTCGCTGGCGAAGAAGTTAAGGTTGATGTTGGGCTGCTGAAGAGCGTCGGTGCTGTTCAGGGTAACCTCACCACCCTCAGACACGGGGCGAAGGAGATCGACAATGACGGTCATGTAGCTGCCAGAGGGGGGCACAGGGTAATGCCACTGGAATGCAGAGCTGAAGAGTCCAACGAAGTCGAGTTCGAAGTGGGGCTGGCCAGCGGGACCGAAGGGGTCAAGGCCACCGTTGGCAGCCTTAGCCTCGCGGTAGGCAGGGTAGCGGTTCAGGCGCTCATCGATACGAGGGAAGCCAACCAGCTCCAGGAAACCAGAAGCGGCCGGACCAGTCTTGTCGCGGCGGTAGGCAGCAACAGCAGCCTCGTTGGCCGGACCAGCACGGTGAATGTGGTCATCAAGGGCAACGCCGTCCTTGAGGCGCAGGACGAAGGGCACGATAGGGTGGTCGAGAAGGTTCTTACCAACATGGGGAGAGTCAACAACCACATCGATGCCGTGCTTGTTCAGCTCAGCAGCAGGACCGATACCACTCAGAAGCAGGAGCTTGGGGGTCTCGAACACACCCTGGGAGACAATCACTTCGCGGGTAGCATAGAGATTGAGCTCAGCACCATTGGTGGGGTCGACAACAGTCACACCAGTACAGGTTTGAGTGGTGCGGTCGATGATCAGGCGCTTGGAGTGGACCTGAGACAGGATGGTGACGTTCGGCTTGTTCTCGAGGTACAGCCAGCTACCTTGGCGCTGGCCATTGTAGATCGTATCCACACAGTGGGTCAGACCGTGCATTTCACCGGAGTAAATGTCCTCGGAAAGCGGCTCGCCCTTGGAGGTCCAGGCAGTGGTGAGGGCGTTACGGAAGGTCTCGAGCTCAGGAACAAGCTCGGCGTGGGAGATCTGGACAGGTCCACCGGTACCGATCTTGTTCAGATCGGTGGGGTAGAGTCCCTCGTCATCGTGGTAGGTAGCACACTTGCGGAGGTAATCCACACAGTTGTCCCAGGTCCAGTCACTGCCACCGAACTCATACCAGTCATCAAAAGTGGCCTTAGATCCGGGGATCCAGGTGAAGTAGTTGGCACAAGAACTACCACCAAGAGCCTTACCACGAGTGTTGGGCTTTTCAACACGCTCGTAGTCATCGCGCTTGATCATGGTAGTCTTGTAAGCCCAATCATACTGGCTGCCACGGAGGCTGAAGGCCTTGGAAGGGGTGGTGATGTCCTCGATCTGGCCGGAGTTGGCGATACCAGCTTCGACAACGAGAACGCGAACGCTGGGGTTCTCGGAAAGGCGACCAGCAATGGCATTGCCAGCGGTGCCACCTCCGACGACGATGAAGTCGTACTTGTTGTTGTTGACTTGGGCACTCATGGTGATGGTGGTTGAAGGAATAGAAATGATGATTCTATTGAAGATTGGATTGAAAGATTTGGAAGAAGATTGTTGTTGTTTTTGTGATTGTTTTTGTTGCTGTTTTTGTTATTGTAGTAGCTGTGATTGTTGTGATGATGATGATGATGATGATGATAAAAAGATGTCTTTGGTGCTGGAATCCATGGTTCTTTTATACTGACATGCTCCATAAGATTGATGCTCCAGACTTTCAAACACATCGTCATTAATGAGGGGGGTGCCGACTTTCCGTGGTGGATTGGAAAGATTTTCAAAAATAGCTCATGGAAGATGATGCATTCGAGAGTGTCAGGTCGAGCTAAGGCTGAGCTAAGACTGAGCAAGAACGACCGTAGAAACTCCGGCGGTGGAGATGGTTCGGCGATCGATCGGACCCAAGATACTACTTCCCAAAGGGGACATAGTAGCAGGAACACGGGACTTTTAGTGCCGATAGTCATACTCAGAACAGCTCAGAGAAGCCACCTGTGGCGCTCATCCCTCGTCTTGCACGTGATATTGACCTTCCCCTCACGCGGCATTATGGGCTTCCCCTCATGAGGGGAAGCCATCACGAAAACCAAAAATGCTGAGGGTTTTCGCTGCTCCACTATAGCTTCAAATTTCTCGTATCCACATACTTGCGTGCCACTGATAATTCTCAGATTACACCTCATAGCGAGAAGGAACCCCGAACATTCCCAATGAGGCGTCAGCACCGGCCCGAGTATCCACCTCCGAGAATAGGCCGGAGACCTTCCATGGGGCATATGGATGTCAAATTGTGTCGGTCCACATCTAAGGGAAAAATATATATAGGGGCGATGGGCCTAGATCGGTATAAACCCCAGATTCCTCAAATTGTACTCCAGAAATAACATTAAGAGCAATTGCGTCAGACATCTTCTCATTCTCCATTCATACAATCCACATCAATATGATCAAGAAGACACCACATCAGTACACTTTGGCTGAGGGTAAGCATTGATCCCATTGATAAGGCATAATAAAATCACCTTGGCTGACTACTGTACTTGTAGGGCAACCTATTTCGGACCCCTCGGTCTCCACGACTCTCCCAACTTTCGGTGGTGGTAGCTTGGTCACTCTTGCTGACACGACGCTGCTCGAGACTCTGGCTCATTTCAACCGTGAGCGGATCCCAGAAAGGTAACTTCGGACAAATGACCACTGGTGGCTTACTTGGTGTGCTTACTCTGTTTTAGAGTTGTCCATGCCAAAGCAGCTGGTGCTTGGGGAGAGTTCGAAGTTACCCATGATATCTCTCATCTCACCAGCGCCAAGTTCCTCAACGGAGTTGGCAAGAAGACACCGGTTCTTTGCAGAATCAGTACTACTGGTGGTGAGAAGGGCAGTGCCGATACGGTTCGCGATGTTCGTGGCTTCGGTGTGAAGTTCTTCACTGAGGAGGGTAACCACGATATTGTTGGCAATCACACAGTATGAATCACCACATACACATGAGGCAATTGCAGCAGTCATACTAACCATAACAGCCCGTTTTCTGGGTCCGGGACCCTGTCAAGTTCCCAGCGGTCAACCGCTCCCACAAGAAGAACCCTCAAACAAACGCACATGATCCCTCAATGGTAAGGGCAACATCTGCTCCTTGGGTCTCCGCAATTGCTCACATCAATACAAGTTCTGGGACTTCCATGTCAACAGCCCTGAGAGTGTTCACGGTCTTCTTCATCTCTTCGGCTCCCGTGGTCTTCCTTCGTCCGTCCGTCGCATCACTGGTTTCGGTCTCCACACCTTCAAGCTTGTCGCTGCCGATGGATCCTTCAATTACTGCAAGTTCCACTTCCGCCCCGAGCAAGGCGTCGACAATCTTTCCGAAGATGAAGCTACCCGCCTTGCTGGTGCCAATGCCGACTACCATACCACGGAATTGTTCGATTCGATCGCGCGTAAGAACTACCCAGTCTGGGGTCTCTATATCCAGGTTATGAAGCCTGAGGAGGCCGAGAAGGCCGGCCTGATGACCTTTGACATCACCAAGGTCTGGCCACACAAGGACTTCCCCCTCATCCCGGTTGGCAAGATGACACTGAATAGAAACGTAAGGGCTTCTTCGACCCCGAGCTGAGGTGCATTTCATACTAATACACATATCTAGCCTGGCAACTACTTCGCCGAAATCGAGCAGGCAGCATTCTCTCCATCCAACATGGTTCCTGGTATCACCTTCACGCCGGATCCCAGTATGTGATCCCCCCTCTTTATTACGCTAAACACATTTCGAACCTAGTGCTGATCAATCCTTTAATAGTGCTCCAAGCTCGCATGTTCGCCTACCCTGACGCCCAACGCTACCGTCTCGGAGCCAACTACACACACCTGCCACCAAACCGACCCGTGGCACCTGTATATGCTCCCTTTGAGCGTGACGGTCTGACCCACACCAGCAACTACGGCGCAGACCCGAACTGGACCCCCAATACGTCTAAGCCTGCAGTCCAGAGCCAGCAGTCCACACAAGACGTGCGTCATGGAGAGTTCCTTAAAGGAGCTGTTCTAGGATTGAACAATATCCCTGTGACCGACGCCGATTTCGTGCAGCCGAGAGCTCTGTGGAGAAACGTCTTTGACGATGCCGAACGGAGACTGTGCGTGTCAAACATCTCGGAGACTCTCGTGGCCCTCCCCGCAGAGTTGAGGGCCGCTGTCATCGACCTGTTTAACAAGGTTGATCCGGAGATTGGCAGATTGATCTCCGCTAAGCTGAGTGGATCTGCCAGATTGTAAGTGGGTTTTATCATCCTTATAGTCAAGGCCCAGGCCACAGTATGAGGCTGGATGCAGGTGAATACTGTGTGGGTGCTCCGTTTCATGATTTTGACGCCTATCACGTCGGCTATATGTACATATGTATATCGGTTGGGTTATTAGATTTTCTTATAGATTCAATTCAATTTTAATATCACTAAGTTCCGAGCTTTCTTGATTCACTTGATACCTATATGTTTGAGGTTTGTCCGTCTACAGTACGTGGAAGTCGATATCATCTTTCTGGATAGTATCGTAGTTAATACTAATTGAAACATACACTTCTCCCAGCCCAACAGTTTTGCACTCACCGAGACACAAACATCAACAGCTAGTACTCAAACCCCTGTCAATGCTCCCAGCAAATCAGTACATGAACAACATGAACATGAGTACAGTTATTAACTCCCGACTTCTAACTCTCCCAACCAAGTGGCCCGTGCACACCCACGAAGTCCGGTAGAAATTACGTGATACCGCGGCCCACCACCAAACAACTTCCCGTGTATCAACAGTGGATACGCGATGAAAAAGTTGCGATAAAAGAAACAAAACTTGCCTAATAGAGTGTAGCTGGACGGTAAGCAGGTTGGAGATGTCAATTGTACCCCTCACGGTACCCCTCGTGAGGGCTTTCACAATCTGGCGATATTCGGCATCAGTTGGATATGGGTATATATATTTTCTCAGATTAGACTAGTGTAATGCAGAAATTTTTCTCGGCTCGGGTTTTCTGTTGGCGACGAACCTATGCAGGAACTTATGTCTTGAAGGCTTGGAACAGTACTACTACTGATTCTGAATGAACTCCGTACACAGTACTTTTTTTTTTCTCCCGGGGAGTAGCTCTTGGTACTAACTAGGAGCGAGGCAATTTTTTGTCCCGGGGCAAGCAATGTTGAGCTTCAGGTTCAGATATCAACTCCAATTGAAGCAATCCAATCCGTATAGTGATCAGGGAATGTAGCCTATGATAGTACAGCGATTATGCACTTTTTTCGACTCGGAAGACACTCGGAATGCTTATTTTGCCGGCTTATCTACGGAGTTCAACCTCAAGGATCTCTTGCACGCATTCGGATGGTCCATGCAGGCTAGCACCGAATAGGATTCTCGGGACCCATTCGGCCCACCGAGTCGTCAGATTTCACCGCTTCCCCCTCGGTAGGTCTTCCGACCACGGCTGGCCGTGCGGGGACGGTTCGTCTCTCCAATTAGAAATGTGGCTGTGTCGGTTGGTAGACAGAGATTGATCCCCTGGCATTTCAACCGCAAATCATTGCTCGGGAGTTAGTGATGGTCGCTTCTGCATGGGAAATTTGCGCTTTTGACTATCTGTAATCTTGCAGTAGTTAGTTAGTTATGTCGACTGACTTTACTAATCAAGATTCAAGCCCCTACGCATACACCCTTTGCATCATCTAGCAGTAAACAACAGTTTCACCCCACCCGTTAAAGAATGCATAGACGCCCCAGAGGAATGCAAAACAAGAACAGATTTCCTCTTGTCGATGGATAACCTCGCAAGTTCCGGGTATTCAGTGCTCCACATCCTTACCACTAGTTGGACAGAAGAGGATATTCGATCGGGATTGAAACCCTGATTGCATCCGGCGAATACCGTTTCCATCCACCTAGATACGGTGAATCACGATATTCCTGTCCGCTGGAAATAACCACTACTCATTGCTTTGCCGCGGTTATAGTGCAACACTCCTCCATGCGTCCCTCTAGGGCTGCCGACCACAATATCACCGAGGCGAATATCTGCATTTTCGTTTGGTACCTCACCCCCAATGCCAACCATCAGGCCAAAGCGAATAGAGTGGAAACTAGACAACAACTGCATTGCTACTGTAGCAGCAGATGCGATACCCTATCCGGTAGTTGGCAAGCAGGCAATCACAACATTATGATCTCTTATCCTTCCTAGGATATAGGTATTGTGGTCATTCGGTGGCACCGGTAAGTCTTCATGGATCTCGTCCATCATGACCTTTGCGGCTGCCATTCTCTAGCGGCAAGGCGCAGATTCATCTGATTGTGTAATCGTCATGCGATAGATGAGTCATGGGTGGCATTGGAGACTATGTAAATCGAATGGAAGAAGACGGTGATTGCTCCAGCAGCGAGGAGGATGTCAAGGAGGCTGGACTTCACAGGTCAAATGGCATCGATCGATCTGAGGCTGAGTGTGATGGAAAGCCACATTTATCCAATCATGCCCAGTCCTCGGTGGGGATAACTACAGGAATACTTGACTTATCACTGGGCAGAATGCGAAGCAATATCGTAGAATGGAGAGAGTTGACAAATTTAGGACATTTCATAAGGGTGATTTACTAGAATGCTAGGTGTTTGCCTGGCATATTTGGGTAGGCAAAATGTTCCGTTGAACTACAAGGTGCTCTACTAGTAGCTGATGGCTAACGCTCCCGGCGGCTGTAGCCTAGAAGGACGCAAGGGGGTTTTCTCCAGTCCTAGCTTATATTTAAGTACTACGCACACCAGGAGAAGATAATGATAAGAAGAAGCCATACAATATGGAGCATCTACCGAACGAATTGCTAATATCCATCGGAGAGTACACTCAGGAAAGATGGTGCCCTATGAGCACACTACGTTCCCTGACCTTGTGCTCTCGGCGATTGCATACAGTGTTTCAACCTTTACTTTATTCTTATATCTCGCCTCGCTGGTCTATTCGTCTCCTTCGTTTGATTATACGCCTCTGGAAACACCCTGAGCTGGCTAGCCAAGTGCGCCATTTGAAGCTTTTTTGGACGCATTGTGAAAATGACCCCCGTGACGGATTGGACGAAGACGAGGCTGTCAAGTTTATCCACCATGCATTGGATGAGATATTCGAACCAGAGGAAGAAGAATTTAGGTCTAAATGGAGAGAGCATCTGCTTGTCCCATGCGAAGAGGCTTGGCTGGGCTTACTTCTCGTACGCTTGACACATCTAGAGACGATCGAGTTCGGCCACGAGAGCTCTGACTTGATGTCAGACATCTTGCGCAAGGCCGCACGGCGCCAACGACCCTTTCACCAGACCCTTCCATTACCACATTTACGAGAAATTTTATTCTTTTCTCAATATGGCGATAATTCATGGATGCCCTCGGATTTTCTCACGCCCTTTTTCTATTTTCCCGCGGTTCGAAAGATCCATGGTGGCCCCATTGGCGAGTCGTCCCCGGATGATCCCGACAACATGTCTCTTAATATCAACCATTCTTCACGTCCGGTTCGAGAGTTTACAGTTTCAATGGCATTTTGGTGCTGCGGTATGCTCGACTGGCTCGCATCGAGCACAGAACTTGAGCACATTGCCCTTGTGCTTGGGTATCACCGAGACGACCCGGACTTCCCAGATGGGGACATGTTCCAAGCTCCGGAATTCCGAAGTGCTCTTCTTCCGTTCACCGGGACGCTCAAAACGCTTCGCCTAGAAGCCGATCACTGGTCTCAGGATCAGTGCACAAGCAATATTGCAGATGATGCTGGGCCGTTTGGCTCTCTCAAGGAATTTGCTGTCCTCGAAGACCTGCGGATGCGATATGTCCACCTCGTGCAGCCGTCCACTTCCGATTCAACTCATGAGATGAAAAGGCCGCTCGTTGATATACTTCCCTCCTCACTTAGAAATCTGGAAGTTCTGGAAATTGAGGAGGATCATTATCCTGATCTGCTGCTGGGCCTTTCACAGTTGGTGCAATACCGGACTTCTTTTCCTCGGCTTGAACGAATTACACTTCACGTGATGGAAGTAGATGAGAGCCTACAAAACTCTTTAAGACATGAGTACAAGACTGCTGGTATCGACTTTAGGGTGAAGACACAAGTATTTACACGGTAGGGGTGGTTATGGTCCGAAAGACAGAATTACCATAAGACTATCTAAAAGTCTAGAAACATAGATTTCCATGTGCAATGATCGTAATCGGGCTCCATATAGGGGGTACCTCGTGCACGTGTGGGGGGGGGGGGGGCGAAGGATGTAGTAATGATTGACCTCAACTAAAGGACGGGTAGACTAAGCCTATATCCCGACCGCAACCCACTTGCCCATAACCTCTAACCCTACTCCTAGACCGTACCAATCTCTTAGAACCCTGGCGCTTCAATCTACTCGTCTGTACTTCATCCACCGCTGAAACCACGTTCAATACTGCAAGTTACGCCCTGATCTCCTAATGGAAGTCAATATTCGGTGAATTAACATCCCGCAATCTAATAGTACAGTTCCGGGTGTTGCATCATTCCATCTAAGCAACATGAAGAGTGAGCAGCCAGATCACCCTCATACTTCCCGTAAAATTTGGACGCGGAGAGCCAATGAGGAATTTGTGGTTTCTATGGTGTCGATGTTTATTGCCCTGGAGCTCGAGGGCCTTGTATTTGGCTATGAGAGATCGGGGGAGAGTGAGAGCTACACTTACTGGTGCCTCCGTATGTTTATTATGGGTTTTATTAACTGGCTCGGTCAAGTTTTGTATAAAAGGTACAGAGGTGTGTAAATAGATAGAATATGTGCTTTCTAGAAGAGCCGTGAAGCAACAGTAATCAAAGCCAATTCACATAAGAAAAGAGTGCTACATGTGGTGAGCTGCGACTACTATTGCTTTCCTGATAGACCATGGACCACAATGGCGAAGAATGGTAATATTGTGGCTAGGCAAGACATTTGTGTTATGTATTGGAGATTTCAATACACTCAGTGCATATGAAAAGGAATGCTCTGTGGGACAAAATTGAATGTACTAGACCTTTGATTTCTAGATATTATAGAGCTTATGAAGAGTCTCCTACCGGACATTCGGTAACAGCCATCAACCACCTCACTGAGGGACAGGGGGGCATCCAACATACTCGGTATAGAATTGGTCGGATTTGAAGCAACGGAAAGATGACCTGGCCCAGATTCGCCTTACGGTGTACCTCATCTCTCTTACCTCGAAACCGAACCTAGAGAGGGAGATTTTTAACACGTCCTGTACATATTTTTCTGTTGCTGCTATCTGGGAAATGTTCACAACACAAAATCTTTGGCGACGGATGCACAGGCTATCTGTGCGTGAAGATCAGTGGAGATAGCCACCGTGTCCCGGGTCCAGCACTGCCGTTTCCACCTTTTTCTTTTTCGTTTCGCTCTTTTTTATTTTTCTATTTTATTTATTTTTTTTATTTTTTTTTCCTACCCAGATGGAAGATCCGACGATCTGACCAGCAAGGATGAAAACATGTTCGAATGAGTTGATCATAACAAGCGCACATATATGGCGGTGAATCCTACAACCATGGATCCGTGGAGAAGTTCTCTTGATTTGGACTACTCACGCCCCTTCACCTTGCATGAATGTGTGCCATGACTCATGACGGCCCCTGACTTAAGGAAATCTGGAGAACCACCCTGGCCTAGATGGACAAGGGTAGGGTTCATACTATGGGTCAACTAAACATGGATCTACCACTACTAGTAGATGGCCCCGCGGTATCTGAGATCCGATAGAGTATCGGCATGCATACACCCCTACCCTTGTGAGCTACATTAGTTGCAGTGGGGAGACGCATGGGCCCAATATTAGACAGGTCACTCCGTTCTTTCCTAAATCCCGAAGAAACGGGTTGAGCTGTACCCACATCGTGCCTCTTAGAAACGATGTTGAAAATGCACGCATGAGTATGGTTCCACACTGAATCTGGAGGCAAAGGAACGCCATGAAGCATGTCGACCGTTCTTAGGTTCCAGGGCTTCTACTGAAGAGCCCACATTCACTGGCATTGTCGCCTACTTACCCAACTACTAGTAGTACTTCGGGCAATGGAGCTCCACAGGGTATGAGTATGTCGATCCAGCCGCTTTTGATTTACTTTTAGTCGTTCGTTGGGAAACAAAATGCTAACATTCGTTGACTATTGATTGGCAGGAATCTTTCGTAAAAATCCCGATATGCCTTATTTACTTACCTAGATGGCTGGCGCGTAATAGAAATTCTTTCATGCTCGCATGTGCTCGATCATTTTCTTCCTGGCTTCCTCCGCCTGTTCCTGGATATCCAGATCCCACAGCCAGCGGAGGCGCTGGTTCCACGTCTCCTTGAGTTTCTCTTCATCATCACCCACACCGTTCAAGCATAAGCAGAGGAGGTACGCATTTTCCTTACTACTAGTGACGACCCTCTGGCTTCGCGGTCGTCGAACCTCATCATATGCCTTGAACGCAGCTACAGCATCCTCCGGCTTAGTAACACGCGCATCCCCGAGGAGCTCAGCAATCACATGGGCATCTTCAATAGCCTGTCCGGCACCAGCACCCTGATGCGGTGTAGAGGCATGTGCGGCGTCTCCAAGGATGGCAACCTTGGACCGAGAGTACGTGGAGATATGAGGATGCTCGAAAATCGCCCATTGAGAGGGATCGGGCATGCGCTAGGTGAGCCAAGTCAGCTGGTGTCTCAGTCAGAATGGATGAGGGTCTGACTCCATACCTCAATAAGGGCATTCACATATCTGCCCATATTCTTGGCATCCTTTCGCATCTCCTCCCTCTCGGCAGGTCGAACCCAGGTGTCACAATCCCATTTCTCACTCAAGATATAAAGGCCGACATTCACTTTCTTGGCCCGCATGATCGGATATGAGATCCCGTATGCCCCGTTTCCGACATACATGGTGGACACCCTCGCACGTTGCTCGCCGACAGCCTCCACCATCTCATCCATATCCAGTACAGCACGATACCCGTACATTCCACTGTACTGGGGCTGTTTTTCCTTTGACTCTTCCGGCAGCATCGACTCCTTTACCTTGGATTTAATGCCATCACACCCAACAACAACATCCGCGGTGGCCGTCGTGCCATCCTCAAATCGTAAGGATACCCCCTCAGCTGTTTCTTCGAGACTCTCAAGTCGCTTCCCAAATTGCACAATCTCGGGAGGAATCAGATCCACCAGCGCATCGAGAAAGTCCGCTCGGCGCAAGGTTGTCTGCCCCGACGGAAGCGCCTTCAGGTTCATCAGCGTGTCACCCTCTCGGTCACCGCTGGCCCATACAATCTCAAACCATGTTTGGCGGAACTGCTCGTAGCCAGGGCTATCTGCGTGAGTTGTGACGAGCGAGTCATAGATTTCTCGAATTTGAGGGTCAATGAGGGGCATAGTACGGTGCGCGGCAGGGCCAATCGACAGGCCAAGTCCGATCTCAGCGAAGGCGGGCGCCGCCTCATAGATCTGGACGGGCACTTTGCGTCGCAGGAGACCGACGGCCAGTACGAGGCCGCCGATCCCACCGCCAACGATAGTGACGGTGAAATCCTTGGATGATTCCATGCTGCCCATATTTGACTTGGAGTGAAATAGTCCAAGACCTTTTACCTTTTTTTTTTTTTTTCTTCTTCTTCTTTTCTTTTCTTCCTTTTTTCGCAATCCAGTTCAGGTAATGATCGTTAAGCTTTTCTGAGACTACTTACACAGGGAATGTGCGTCGAGATCAGGGTGCTCCTGCATGTGGAGCGTGGGTCAGTTACAATAACAACTCATTAAAAGTAGAGCCAAGACGTGGCATGATTTGGGCCTTGGGTCGTAGCGATCATTTACCTTAGTAATTCCAATCAAAATTACGCCCCAGCCAGCCTTGCGTGTCCAATATAAAAGCGGAGATCTCCGAATGATCCGACAGGCAGGTGGTTGGTCCCGGCTTAATATGTCCGTTATTAATTCGAGCAGGGATGTGGCAGAGAAACTCCACGAGGGGCACGGCGATTCGCATGTCTAAAATAAGTGCGTCGTATCGGTCGAAGCGCCATGACAGGGATCGAGTGGAGGTCAAAGTTCGACGGCGTCCCGGGCCGTGTGGGGTCGAGACAAAAGGACGGACTCGAGATCCAACGTTTTGCTCCGGGAACCCATTCAGCTGAATTTCGGATCTCCCTGTCTGTGTGTGTGTGCCTGATCCTACGCGGGATGGAATTAATGACAAATTAAAGTCAGTGTCGGCTTACATTCTTCGGACCAACTAGTATTCCCGCTGGAATGCAAGGGCAAGACACGTGTACTAGTCGGGGGGAGGCCTCGGCAAAGCTTCTTACGGGATTGAGTGGTTCTTCAACCAGGTATCCCTGTATTGATACGAATCCTTGCCCCCCTGCGAGACTTGCTTATTATTTCTTCTTCTTTTACGTTCTTGTTTGTGATTCTCTGCCTTGGCAAAAAAAAAAATAAAAACTAAAAACCAAAAACCAAAAAAAAAAACAAAGACCATGGCCGTCGTCGCTCGATAAGCGTCCCCATTCCCCTGTGATTGTCACCACAGGGCCATCATACCTCATGGAGAGATCAACAGTACCATCGGATGATGGCGATGTCTCTAGAGCGTCGATGGTCACTGTACCGACCATTGCCACGACCGTCATTGCTCTAATCCTCACATTATTACGGCTATATGTGCGCCGGTACATGATTCGAATGTTGTCCTGGGATGACTGGTTCAATGTCTTTGCGATGGTGAATCTCGAGTCTACGCAGATGTGCACACTCTGTATCCTTGGCTAACCCGATATCACTTCAGTTGACGCAACTGGTTGTTCTGGGACTGGTTCTGGGAGCAACCTCGTATGGGTTTGGACGACACGTCAAATACGTCGGCCATGACCATGCGACTTACAGCATGAAGCTTTTGCGGATATGCGAGTTTCTATTAATTTTCACAACAGTCTTCCTCAAGATTTCCATTAGCCTCTTTCTCAAGAGGCTGTTGTAAGTACCCATCCTGGGGTCTTGCCCACCGTCACGCTGCGGCTAATAGTTGTGTCCAGCCTCACAAGCAAGAAATGGAGGGCTTTCTTCTGGTGCTTTATCGCCTTCAATACCATTACCAGTGTACTCGACGCCGCCGTTATCTTCCCTCAATGTACCCCCGTGGAGCTGAACTGGGATAAGACAGTGGATGGACATTGTTGGTCGGCCAACGCTATCGATGCGATTGGGATCGCCCAAGGAGGTACGACACCCGCTCATTTGATGACGGTATAGCCTGACACAATCTACGTAGCCATTGCTGCATCCACAGACTTTGCTTTATCCATTCTGCCAATTGTTTTCCTATGGAACATCAAACTCCCGAAGAGAGTGAAGCTGGGCATATGCGGGATTATGGCCCTGGGGTTCGCGTGAGTATATGATGGGCACAAAACATTTGGAAAAGGATTGCTGATTGAAGGGTGGGATCACCAGGAGCGGCGGATTCGCAATTGCTCGCACTGCCCTCGTTCCTAGTTTAATGAAAACGGAAGATCCGACTTGTGAGTGTAGTTCTTTTTGCGCCCCGTGTCATTCTTCTATGATTGAGCCGATCATTGATAGTGTTATTATCTAGGGGACCTGGTTGATCTATTCATGTGGGCAGTGTAAGTTGTCACGGACTGACCAATACTCCATCAGCTTGGAAAAGAAGAAAAGCGATGCTGACTGGTCTCCGTCACAGACTGGAAGCGACATTCGGTATTATTGCTGCCGCTGCCCCGTCTGTCCGACCGCTCCTCGGCCATAACTCCGTGACTACGAACTATTATTCTCGCGACAAATCGCATTCTCTACCACTCCGGAACACGCGCACCGGGCGAAACTCGCGAGTCGACTGGGGAAATACTATATTTGATACCCGAAACGAGCCAGACGAGAGAGATGACTATGGCGGGGACAGCGAGTCTCAGATTCGTCTTGATGACCGGGGTATCATGAAAACCACCTCCATTGAGGTGGTCACCACGATCGGGCATACCCTGGAGAGCGACATAGATAGGAGACCAACTTCGGAGGAGAGTGCCGAAAGGAGATACATCTAGAACACCCCTATAGATTTACGATACGATCTGAAATTGAAACATGACCACGAACCAATCCTAGGCGCTCCACTCGGGACAACGGGATCGAGATGTACTCGGAGTAAAATGGACAGGAAAATTTACGCCGTAGCCTAGTGACATTTCATATCGAAGGGTTCTTGGCATTTTGAGGGTGGAGCATCAGGTAGTACTACTATACCAGTAGTAGTCCTAGTACTTAGCAGTAACAGTGCTCCATCGGAAGTATATTGGCGGTCCAATGGGGGCGGTCGTGTGATCCGCCTGATCAGTAATAAGCGTTGCTAACCGGTCTTAGCTCCGAGCCATCTCGTGCACTAACAAACCCTAACGGCGAACCGTCGCTCCTTAGCATCCGCGGAATGTCACCCCGTCCGCAAGTAAGCATCCATGATGGGGTCTCCTGTGCAGCCCAGGAAAGTCGCTCGTGTAGAGATTTCTACCTGAGACGAGCGATTAATGAATCGTTGCCGCGGACCCCTGTCGTCGTGAACCTATGGCCGAGGTTACATCTACCATGCAGGGGTCACTCTTCGCCTGGCTCGAATGTAATTTCGCATGGAAATAACCCCTGTACGTAGGGTTCTAATGAATAATAAAATCTGCAAATCAACAGCGCGAGTATAAATCACATGCCCTGCAGCTCATGAAGAAGAAATCCTTCGGATAGATTAACCTTTTTGCTTTTTGCTTTTTTCCCTCTCCCCTGTCAACGTCTGGTAAGCTCTCTGCAACTGGTTGCACGTTTACCATGTCTGCCATGGAGCAGGAGGACAAGTATCCCTCACCGGAAATGAGGGTCGCAAGTGGAAGCGATCAGTCTTCCGAATATTCCAAGAAGAACGACAATGGCATCGTCCTCATTCCTCAACCAAGCGATGACCCGGAAGACCCCTTGGTATGTGAACTGAACCTTGAGACACTGGCATACCATATCGCGATGCGTCCCTCTAACAGTCTTCCAGAACTGGCCCATGCACAAGAAAATTACCATATTCGCATGCATTTGTCTGGCCGGGTTTGCGGGTCAGATGTCGCCGAATTCCAACCAGCTCACCTTCATCTACCAAATCCCAGCATATCACAAGACTCAAACCGACCTGCTAAACTCGGTTGCGGCGGGTCTAGCAGGATGGGTCGCAGGTCCTTTCTTCGTGATTCCTCTTGTGGCTGTCATCGGTCGCAGTTCAGTGGTGCTCTGGAGTCTGGTGGCTATTTTCGCCTGCCAGATTTGGGCTGCCGAGATGACGGGTGCCAATGACTACATCTCCTTCACCCTCTCACGACTCTTCTGCGGCATGTTTGGCGGTATCCCTGCTATTCTGGGCAGCGGTTACATTATGGATATGTTCTATCTGCACCAGCGGGGTAAGGCATTCGCTATCTTCGAGGTTCTGATCATCTTTGCCGTCGTAGGCGGTGGCACGCTGGGCGGTTTCATTGCAGAGCACAAGCCCTGGAACTATGTCTTCTGGTGGACACTCGGCCCTGTTGGTGCGGCCATACTTGCTGTGTTCTTCTTTGTTGAAGACACTACTTTCCCCCGGGACCCTTCCATGCCGAAGCGTGCTCCCCTCCCCAAGGGCTGGTTTGCCAATCGCATCGCCACCTTCTTGCCGGGCACTAAAACCCAACCATCGGGCAAGGGGCCGGAATTTGTAAGCCTTCCGCCGCGATAGCATCCAACGATGCTCTATCTGCCCAGAATCAGGGGGTGACTAACAATAACTCTAGGTCCGCAAAGCAATCACACCCCTCCAGATCACATTTACTCCCATTACGCTCCTGACAGGGACCTACATCTTCATCGCCCTGGGTCTCCCTATCATGCAAGCCTCCACATTGGCAACCTACCTCGAACCCCCAGAGGAAGCGGGCGGATACGGGTTCTCATCCTTGCAAATGGCTTTCTTCACCATGACAGCCTGGGTGGGAATCATCTGTGCTCAAGTCTACGGCTTCTTCTTCAACGACAAGACCCCTCTCTGGCTCGCCCGTCGCCGCGGCGGAACCTGGCACACCGAGTACCGACTGGCAAACACCATCCTGCCGAGCATCCTCCTCCCCATCGGACTCGGGATCTACGGCGCCGGCCTCGAATACCACCTCCACTTCATGGTGTTGGCGCTGGGCTCGTTCCTGATCTGGTTCGGAGCGATGCTTGCCCTCCCGGTCTGCTACAACTATATCATCGAATGCTTCCTGAACAACCCGGTCGAGGCTTCGGTGTCGCTGAACGCGTATCGAGTCTCGTTTGGCCTGATGTCCGTGTTCATCGTCACGCAGTGGCAGTCGTCTGTGGGCGTGGGCTGGATGTGGGGGATGGGTGCGTTCTTGATTGTTTTTGTCGATATTATCATGGCGGGAATTATCTTAAAGGGTCATCTGGTGCGCAAGTGGACTTCTACACTGGGTAGCTCTCTGGATGTTACCGAGGATGGAGAGAATATCAGTGCGAAGAAGGAAGGTGGTGTGTGAGCTGTGGTAGTAGTGCGTTTATTAGAATCTTACTGTTGGTTATATAATAATACTACAACTAGAATACGAGGACCCGTGGCATTGACGCCGAAAATGATCGCTTTTTTTTTGGAGGCCGAGAAAGAAGACAGTGGGGAAGTGAGTTGATATGGTGAAGCCAGATGGGGACTTAAATCGTTGTAAGGGCCAACTCGAACGAGGGAACAGAAGGGCTTCTCTCCCAGGGTGGGGACCCTCCTGGACCCCTACTAGGCAGTAACATAGGTTCGCCAGACAGGCTGACAGCCCAATATCTGAATTTGGACTCGTGCATGCGCTGATAGGCTGAACTATCTTCTTTTGTTGATTGTCGATCAGCCGGCAGCCAAGACAGAAGTACATGTCGATTATCCAGCCATCCAGCAGCCAGTCACCCAATAACTAGTAGTTAGCATCTCGCATCCAAGTCAGTCTTGGTCACGTGAATACAATTACCCTATATCACTTACCAAATGTGCTATAATCTGATGCATTATAAATAGAATTGAACTATAATTCTATGTATTTGAAGTTATACAAGCATTACCAGGTCAAGAACCTGAGTACAATAATTGTAGCACATTTTACTTTGCCTGATTTCAAGAGGGGAAAAAATGTAATAGTAAGGTGGAAGTCACTCCTTGTTGTCAGAAGTCGCCGGCGGGTCTTTCTCTTTCTTTCTTTCTTTCTTTCTTTCTTTCTTTCTTGCCCATAAAGGCACAAAGAAGTAAAATACACAAACGCAATCTTTGTATAAGGACAACTTCAGAGAAAACAAGATTTTTACCTTTCCCGTGTGGGAAGCTGCACGTTGCTCGCCTGACTTTCTAGAATGTATGATGTATTGGGTTGACCGAGAAAGAGATTGTGGATTTCTACATAGGCGATGAAGCCGTAGCTGTCGCTTTGCTTGATTATATTCTACACGGCCACCAGTATCGTTGTTTGTAAGGCGCACGGAGTGTAATTGATGGCTAGTCGACGTTTGTGATGTACGCGGGAGTATAGTTTACCTCACTGTCAGGCTTGTTGACCGGTGTCACTAACTTGGCATAGAGTTGGGCCACTTCGACACAGAGTTGGTAGAAGATGGATATTGAAATGGAGTTACTCTTCGGAAATTTGGCGTCTTCATGACTCATTGTAAATTTCAACACGTCTCACCCTTCTCCAGAGATACAGGCAAAACTTGGATCAAGGATGGACAGATATTGAATAGGATATGGGGGAAATAGGGGAATAGAGATGAAGAATTTATCTCCCGACATTGTTGCCGGTTTAGGCTACCTGGTTCCTACTCCCCCATGACTTCTCTCCATCGTGAAATATAATACTTTATCTGAGTATCCATATTATAGAAGTTTAATAGTATAGTTTTCTTCATTGTAGAATGTTTTGTAAATTAGTATTATAGTTTTAGTAGAGCGGTCTACATCGTGCATGCGATCCTGAATGAAATAGTCCTGTTGCTGTTTAGTTCTCTGTAATGCAGTGTTCACTTCAAATGCATGGATCGCATTGTTGGCCAACATTACCAAACCTTTTTCTCAACCGATCTTTGTACTTTGTGTCTTCTTCCACCTTCTTTTGAATAAAGTCCTCGGCTCCGACGCACCAGTATGGACTGACAGTTCGATCAAACACTCGTTGGGTGCAATGTTCCTCACAAAACCTGCGCTGGATATGCTCGTTGAAGACACTAAGAAGCCCCTTTGGGCTATGTGCAGCCTGAAAATACCAGAAACTTCCTCTACCCCAGCATTGTCTCATAATCTGAGCCTGGGCAGCATTCGGACCTTGAAGAATTTTCTCCTGTTCTTCAAAGACATCTATGAATTCATTGATGATTTTCTCGAAAGTCTGCAGATGTTCTCCATGTTCAATATCATCAATAGGTCGACCAGATAACCAGTATGGGGGTGTCTGGAGCTCGACAGGGAATGAATATGCCCATTCTAGATCAATAAGGGACGTTACATGCCAGTCTTCGTCAACGAATATGTTGCTTGGGTGAAGATCAGTAAGTGTGAGCACGAATGGCCCGTCGCGATATCGACGTGACACAAACTGATGGAGAAGACCGCGCATCATAGTCAAAGCGGCAAATTGCTCCTGACCGTCATTTGTACTGTGGATGGCATTGGGCTGGTAGTAAATGCGATTGTCATGACACTGCAAAAGATCTAGGATATAGGGCTCCACAGCCTGGTAGGTTGAGGTTCTCGGGATCGTAGGGATACCTTCATTTTCAAAAGTTTGGAGCCGAAGCGTCAGGGGACGGTTCGATACACTAATAATTCCGTCGTCATTTAAAGTCAGAGATCCGATTTGCGGCAACCGGGTACGGTTTAATGCAATTATAATGTTTGCGAGATCGCGAAAAAGAGTCTGTCGGCGTGAATTATCCTCAAGGAGATATGTGGCCCAAGAATTGGAAAGCATCTGACCATTCTTCACGAGGCTTATAATCATGTATCCGGTTCTCAGTGGATTCGAGCATCTGAGGCCGATATAGGGGCATGCGGTAGGGAACCCAAGCAACAAGCTGATGGTTCGTTTTATACGCCACTGGAGTCGAGTAAGAAAGGACACAGAAGATAACTCAGCGAACTAGGATACGAACTTAGTTAATTTGCTCCAAAAGATATTGGATTGAGTTCACAGACAGTCAGCCCATTAGGGAATGCGAACCCATAGAGGGACGGAATAGGGACAGTCGGACAATTCTCACGAATCCAAATATAGGTAGCTACTTCGCACCGCAGCTTTTCATCCATATTTCCGGGATTAAATGCCTCTCCAATTTTAAAAGGTAAGGGGATTCGAACAAGGACCACCTGCTCGGATAGACAGGAATGCACACATTGTAGCTACCGAATAACCAACGAGTTTCATCAGCTACTTGGCAGTATTTTGCACAAAGATGAAAGCACACTATTTCTTCGATATCATTCTTATAAGAGAGAAGATACGACCAAAATTCCTGCTTTTTCTGCGGATAATCTAACCGATGGAGAATATTGTCGTCATCTTCCAAGGCATCTTCCAAGGAAATGCTGTTTCCCCTGAAAAGAGGAAGACTCGCTGTCATTTTGGGAATACTTTATTAGAGCAGGCAGAGATGTGCAATGCAGGACACTCTCGGAGCTTTCAATGCTCACAGGATGCAGGACACTTTAGGTCACATGATCGAAAACACTAAAATAGTAACCTGGCTGAAAATCACAGTTGTACTTTTGTACTGGTATACCAGGCCCCCTCCTTGGTTCGTCAGTTCCGCTCTGACATAGAGATACCACCCTGTCAGGGAGGTGAGAAGTAGATATAATCGACCGAACTAACTATCAAGACCGAATAGAAGGAGAAGGGTGTCTGGGAACTAAGATGAGTGACGTTGCCACGAAACGGAGATTGTCTAACACAACTTGCGAATGTGCCCGCTGCGGAGGAACCTTTGTTTCATGCGGTCTCGCTTGATTTAATGAAATCTCATCTGAGAATTGGTGCATTTGGCCCAAGATTGCTCAGTATCGTTAATAAAATTGAGCCTCTACGGACGTTCTGAACATAGAGAGCCGAGGAGAGAGATACTAGAACTAGAATGGGGTTACAGCTGATGTCTGCCACGTCACATGGCCAAGCAACCATACCCCAAAGAGACTAGACAAGATGTCCGCCGTAAACAGGAAGCCCAACCTCTCTTCCTTTGCATATACTCTACACTGCCACCGACAATGCGTCTAATTCACACAGGGAGTTTACAGCTCGAAGAATTCACGGATGAAATCCCGCCTTACGCGGTCCTCTCGCACCGATGGGGCAAGCAAGAAGTTACGTTCCAAGATATACTCCTCGGCCGGAACCATGATACGGAGGGCTATAGAAAAGTGGAGAACGTGTGTAAAGTAGCCAACCAGGATGGCTTCGAGTATGCCTGGATTGACACCTGCTGTATCAACAAAGAAAGTAGCGCTGAGCTGTCCGAAGCGATTAACTCAATGTTCAGATGGTATGAATCGGCGGGACAGTGTTATGCTTACTTACGCGATGTTTCCTCGGACAATGATCAATCTGATTTATCAACCAAAGTTAGGAAGAGTGAATATTTCAAACGAGGCTGGACCCTTCAAGAACTCATTGCTCCATCAGGTGTGCGTTTTCTTGCAGATGACTGGAGTGAGATAGGGTCGAGAGACTCCTGGTGTACCTTGATACATGAGATCACCAAGATAGACGAGTCGATTTTGAAAGGCTCGGCACAATTGTCCGATTTCAGCATTGCCAGGCGAATGTCATGGGCTTCAGGGAGAAAGACGACACGTGTGGAGGATATAGCCTACTGCCTCATGGGGATATTCCACGTTAACATGCCGTTGCTCTATGGAGAGGGCGAGAAGGCTTTCATAAGACTGCAGGAAGAGATTATGAAGGAGTCAGCCGATCAGTCACTTTTCGCATGGGAAGTACGCGAAGCAACAGACCGACCTGAAACTGGCTTGCTTGCACGATCGCCCGCTGACTTCAAGCATTCTGGAGATATCGTACCTTTTTATTTTTCAAAGAAGGATTCTGCTCCGTTCTCGGTGACCAACCGGGGTATAAGGCTGCACTTACCCCTATACCAGAACCTACTGGTAAAGGATATACTAGTCCTCGAGTGTCAGGACACCTCAGAAAAGTACAGAGCCCTTGTGGGGATATATCTGCTTCCAAGCTCTGGCGGACAGTTCCAGTATATGAGGCATAACTCTAGAATCAACAGGGAAATTCCGCTGTCAAAAATGCGTCACGCCAAGGCTCAAACGATCTATGTGATGAAGACATCCATTGGAGAGGGAGGGGGCTCCGTGCTGCATGAGCATAGACCCTATCACTACGCAGGATCTCGCCTCCGCAAGGAGTTATCACAATCAGGAGAGCCCCCGAAAAAGCTAATCCTATGTTTCGATGGAGAGAGTCAAAAGCATCGAGCGAACCATCAATCCAACATCGAAAAAATCCATAACATGCTTTATGGCACGAACGGTTCCCAGCTTTGTTACTACCAGCGAGCCGACTCTAGCCGCTTTGATGACTTCAAAGCATGTATGGGTGATGGATACAATGTAAGCTATCTCCTGGAGCTAGAAGATACCGAAGCACTAATACTACTTCTAACAGTGGCTCGTAGATTTCTACAATGTTGGGGATGAGATATTTCTCTTCGGCTTCTCTAATGGGGCTTATATAGCTCAAGCACTCGCAAAGATGGTCGATTATATTGGAATATTACCTCAAGGCAACGAGAGCTTTCAGGCCGCCTGGGACATCTTCCAGCGGTGGAATAACTATGCGCTGAGGGTCGATACTGATAAGATGTGGGAGGAAAGAGAGAGTTATTTCAGAATGAAAGATTTCCGGGAAAAGCTCTGCAAGCCCATCAAAAGCATCCGGTTTCTTGGTTTATTCGATACAGTCGTCGTCAAATCCAAACATCTTGACGGAGAAGGGGAGCGAATGTCGACAGCCACGGAGATTTCGAAATCAGCCAGCACTATTTGCCATGCAGTCTCAATAGATGAATACCATGCTGCATTACGTCCAGTTCTCCTGAAAGAGGAGCTCAGCGATGGACTCCGTATGAAAGGAATCAAGCAAGTCTGGTTCCCAGGTAGTCATGCGGTAAGTATTTTGCTTACCTGTAAAATCTTTTGCTAATTTCAACAGGATATCGGGGGGCTTGTACCGCTAGACCCCGATGAGAGTTGGAGCCTCAGCCATATCCCGCTGGTCTGGATGGTCCGCGAGGCCTCGAAGGCCGGCCTGTCTTTCAGGCTCACGACGCAGTTTGGATGCGATGAGCATACGCAGGTCAGCCCATTAGATCTGACCAAGATAATGGACAGTGGCAGCATAAGTGACCAGTACAATGCATTCACAGTTAGTCCAGAGACCATCTTCTCTAGCGATCAGTTGAAGGCCTCTTTACATCTTGCATCCATACAAGGCCACCTGCACAGCACCGTGAGCCACACACACAAAACCAATCGAAAGATCCCCCGCGCTTTACATCCCGCTACCGTATGTCGAAGATTAACCCTTACAAAGCCTCGAAATCTTCCGCTCTACGCCAAGGTGCATGTGTCCGCTATCCGCAGAATGGGCATGGGTTCAGCCCATTACCGTCCAGCCAATGCGATCATAAGCCGCGACCCGGGAAGAAATACGACCTTGCATGCAGCGCACAAAAGAAATTACCTGGTAGCATTCATTGGTCTCAACGATACGATCGGACAGTGCTATATCGTTGTAAACAAGGCCGAAGCTCAGTCTCTTGCGCCTGCTGGGCTCTTCTCTGCGGCTCCTGAATATGTGGCGATGCAGCTTCCCATTTTTGTCGGGTTGAAGAACCTACTTTATTCGAAGATCCGAGGAAAGGCACACCCGGCTTACCTACACAGTTCGTTATGATTTTTCCGCCACAGCAGCTCTCCTCACTGAAGTCCATATACCGCCTAGGAATATGCCGTATCGCTATTTCTTTAAAATATAAGACTATTATATAAAGGGGCTTGGGAAAATAGATATTATATATATTTCTTTATATAAATTACATCCCCATGCTAAATTGGCGGCCAAAAACGATAGTCTGTCGGTGCCGTTCAACTTAGTGTGGATTGTACTCACCCTACATTCCCATTACTGAGTACTCAGTAAGTACTTATAATATACTTAATCCTACTTAGTTTCGGCTCTCTGATTACTCTATATTTTCTTCTATTTAAGAACTACCTCTCATATTTCATCTTTTCTCGGTACCCTTTTTTTGTTTTTATTCCCTATATTATGTTATGCAGTGATGTTTGCGACTGTTCTAGCATTGAGATGTAGCGGCGACAGGTCATACTGCACTGGAATCGGGCTGTAAAGTATTAGAAAGTGACATACTATTATGGCCTGCAAACGACAATCTTATCATAAAACCAGAGAGTACAAGACAATGGAAATGGTTGGACTCTTGGAAACAGCATCGCGTCTCTGAACATCCGCAATTTATCGCATCCAGGACACAGCCACGCCGGCCTCTCATGTACTACGAACAGTTAGTTTCGTGATTCGGCAGGCCCACGCCAAAGCGAAGGAGCCTGGGACACCTCAATACCATGCGGTCAATCCGGACAGCGCAAGGATTATCAATAGCCTTTTAATTTCCTCACACACCATGCTCATGATGAAAACAAACACAACAGATTTTGGCTAGGGCAACAGGGCATGAGCATCATATGCTCTGGAGAGACGAATGGTGAGCGAATGCTGATCAGTTCGGTTATGGAAATCACTTACCTGTTGGCCCGGAAGTCTGACACTGTGGGTTCAAGCCCTTCTCCTTTCAAAGCCCGAGACAAGCCAACTTCTCCTGGCCTTCGTCGGTAAATAGCATCTTCCCACTCGACCAGCCAGACATGAAGATAGCGGGATATCTCCAATGAAACCAGAGGGGGTGAGAGGCGGCGCCAAAGTAGTGAAAGTAATGATCGAGGCTGAAGCAAAGATAGTTGCAGCTTCCCAGCACCAGGAGAGTGAGCACGGCGGTAAACCACACGGCCTTTTTGCCATAGTAATGGTCTACCAGGAAGAAAGTGGTGAGACCTCCCATCGCGCCACCCATCCCCAGAGGGCATATAATTAAGGTCCAAATGACCTTGTAGATCATCTCACGCCAGCCGGAAAAGAAGATCGTCGCAACCAGAAGGAACACGATCTCGGCAATCATTGAATTGACCCAGAACACGACAAAAGGGCGAATGTATATCGCACGTCGCTTGCGTGCCTGTGCTTCGTGCTCGTCGCCCGAAGTTATGATGACTTGGTACTTCGGTAGGGTCATTTTCTGGATGATTATAATCAGGTAGATCGGCAGATGGAAAGAAGGGGATGTCGAATTATTGCACAAAGACCGCTCACCGTGGGCGCAGAGGGCATGAATTTTATATCTACACCCGGTTGAGATGCTTCTGCACTAGGAATCCGTTAAATACACATCTCTATCCGAGAGCGTCTCAGTGATCACTGATCAAGGAGAACTCAAGCCGCGGCAGCAGATCCACGGCACCCCGACCCACAATCTCGGAGGGCATCCTTGTTATGGAACTACAAGCATTGACCGAGAGAGAGCATAACCTCGACGAACATGTTTCGTCACCCGAAACTGCAGGGCACTGTACAATAGCCGCTTGAATTCGTTTGTCCACGGCGACTGCGTAGAGAACACTTCCCCCGGAGAGAGAAGTATATTGTACCCGGCTTGTTGGAATAAATCGATCCGCAAAAGCCGGGAGCCAATAGTGGCGCACACCACCAAGCTAATTGGTCGCAAACGGATGAGAATTAGCCCATTGTCATAGAGAAATCCAATATCTCAATATTTCAGAGAAAACGCGCCCCGTGGGTCATCATCATACACGCCGCTTTTTTTGAACTTGGGGATAGAACCATCCCCGGAGCAGAGTGCAATCACACGGGTTGAACTCAACAGTTTCACGAGCGAGGACCATTGTGGCCAGAGATATATCATTGCTCCAGGCGTAAGTCCACAATGAAGATTGCCGAGATGGTTTTGTGTGCTAAACGACAAATGAATTCGCAAAAGGCGATCTTATAACATTGTCTTCCTCTTCTTTTGCGCGCCTCGGCTTTCCAATGGACGAGTGATCCAAAAACCATCGGGCCTCCTTGAGCTTTTGGATTACATTACTTGTCGCCTACCGAGGTTGCTCAAATGAGATCGCGTCCGTTTTTCTTCAATCGGTTTGATTTATGTGTATGCAATCATATTCAATTGACAAACTGGCCTCCTGAATCAAGTTTGGATCGACTGTGAGAAAGATAGACGCTGCAGTAACCTCCTACGAGCATGGCTCTCCAAAGCGCTCAATATAAGTTACGGATCACGAAGCGATAGAACGAATCAATGGGTTACTAGTTTCGGCAGTATGCGATACAACAATGCCTCTTTTCATCCATGTATATTGACTGCATACTCTTTCCTAGTAATACCACGTCGCAAGTCAACAACCGCCGTGGAGCTCACGTAGACAACATCACCAACACCAGGCTTGAAATTTGTGCACTGCATGAGAATACTCACTGAGGAAGACAATGTTCCATTCCATTACGGCTCTCCGGGAATGCAAGAAAACCCTGGCGAATGATGATGGACCTCGGTAACCGTAAACTTGATCACTCATCACCACCACCCGCCCCTTCAGTGGAAACCCTAACTGAACGGCCGCATTGATTTTTCGCCCCCCCCCCTTAACCATCCGAGAATAGGCGATTTCAAAGAGAAGATCCCAGGTGCTTTGATGACATATGAGGCAAACTCGAATTTGAAATTACAGGTATTATTCTCAGCTGCAATTCGGTAAACCTCCCTGGAGGCTTCCATCCTGGTAGCCAGAGTCGGAGTTGTGGTGGTTTGGCGGACTGGGAGGGGCCTGCTGCGACTGCCGGTAGACGCATGATCAGAAACTACGTGTTGTCAAGCACATCAGTAGCCGTCCCTATACCGGATTAATTCCGGGCATCTACAGAGAGTGAGAGGACCTTGCAGAGGACGTCCAGGAGAAGTTGGGACGAGAGCATGGCCGTCCATAAAAGAACACAAGGCAGCCAGGACAACCCATATTATAGAGCGAAACTAGCAGCGGAACATGATGAGCATCGACCGGTAAATATAGTCGGTGGTCCTGGCCAGGTACGATCCGGGGGGTGGTTTTCTACATAGATCAATGAAACTCATTGGAGATGCAGCACCGTCGAAATCAGGTCCGCTTAGCTCAACAGAGATACCGGTCCCGAAAAGAAGAACGAATCTCTCAGCTCAGCCGAAGAACGGCGGAACTCGAAGACTCGCTGAGAGAGCTAAAGCAATCGCTGATTGGACTGAGAAGCACCACCGAGACTCTATGCAAATCGGGCCGTCCCCTCGAGGCTGCAAGTCAAGCGCACTATGCCTTTGCACAGCTGCTATCCACGATTGACTGTGCTTTGCAGGAATCTCAAGAACCAAATAACTTGAATTGCACAGAATTCAATGGAGCTCATTCCGAATCATGGAACAACTCCAGTGGGCCTGCACCGTCGCCACAGATCATGGCGCCGCTTGGCTATAGTCTCTTGTCAGATATTCCCGAGACTGACCGTACCTCGCTCTCCAGGTCCGATCATTTGGCTTAGTCATCTAATTAACCAGATATCTATCCAGCAGGGGGGGGGGGGGTGGACGAAGGTCTGCTATACTGTCTGATCTGACGGGCTTAGGGGCGATCACGGCAGTGAGAGCGGAGACCATTGCAATCCCACAGGCTCTCCGAAAAAGGCCTATTGGAACCGAGTATTGTTGGTCAGTACAATGTACTGGATTGAACTATATACGGACGGTGGACGGATGATGCTTTCATTTATTCTGTCCTTGCCTCTCGCTGAAATTGCGAAGTCAGATCGGGTCTAGGGTATGTAAAATGCAGTGTATACAGAATACTGAGACGAAATTGAATCTTTAATCCAGTTCGTTCGTTCATCTAGAGAACGCAGGAATTGTTACCAAATATGCGGCTGACATCCGCACAGACCTACATCGCTGGCGTTCTCGTGAGCTTAAGACATACAGACGCCAACTACTCTCAATGTTGGTATGACGTATCTCGAGCACATATCGATGAGATATCTTGCCGATCCAAGCAGTATTGTAAGCAGTAATAGGCGGACCACGTATCCGGTAGACGTTTGTCGTATTGCATTCATGATCACTCATCAGATACTTCTTCGCGACCCGGACCGAGGGCCACCCAACCTGATCTTACCCACCAAAGGTTGGATGTTAGGGCGTTGGACCCCAGCATAAGAATCAAGAACGCACTGGATTCGATGACGACGTGATAACAAGGCTAAAGGACGATACAAACCTCATTTCTTGTTAGCCGCAGAAAAAAAAAAAAAAAAAAAAAGGAAAACTGTGTTCCTACTTTCTGGTCGGTAACCATATCGTTCCCTACTGCAACATCCTGCCACTTTTGTCTCGAACGTACTATCAAGGAACCATGGGTCTTCAACATAAAATCTTCTTCAGCAAGCGAGCTAGTGCGACTCGCACTGGCCCTGCAGGCTCTGATCACCTTAAATGGGTCCCCACGAGCTCTACTCTCATCTACGGCGAGAAAGATGCCATTCTAGTCGATGCTCAGTTAACCAAACAAGCCGCAAAAGAATTGGCTGACTGGGTCATTGCCAGTGAGAAGAACCTGATCGCTATCTATGTCACTCATTCGCACGGCGATCATCATTTCGGAAGTTCGGTCCTTCTTAAGCACTTTCCTCGCGCCAAGGTCTTAGCAACAAGCGAGGTTGCGTCCAGGATGAAGAACGAATGCTCCCCGGAGAGGTTGCAGAGTCTCTGGGAAAAGCTCTTTCCCGGGCACATTCCGGACGAGTTTGCATCCGCTGAGGCCCTGCAAAAGGATGAGATTGCGCTAGAAGGCGAAACATTGGTCATTATGAGATTGGGCCACACCGACTGCGATGAGACGACGGCCCTATGGGTTCCATCGACTGGCCTGCTGGTTGCGGGCGATTCTGTTTATGGTAACACTCATCCATATATGGGGGAGTCGGGGACCATGCAAGCACGACTCGCCTGGATCGCAGCGCTAGACAAGCTCGCCGCTTTGAACCCGAAGGTCGTGGTCGGCGGACACAGTGATCCGAACAGTTCTTTTGGGCCTGATGCCATTGGTGAGACCAAGGCATACTTGGAGAATTTCAACAAGCTTGTAGAGCAGTCTCGGACTGCTGAGGAGATCTACTCACAGATGATGGAATTCTACCCTGCACGGCTAAACCCGGGTTCACTCTGGGGCGGCGCAGCGCTTTCAAAGCAGAAGTAAGGTGGGAGGGAGTATTTCTGTCTGGGGTTTTACTTATGATCACTTGACATCGAAGGGCGGGCAGAACACCTGATAAAAAGCAAAAGGCTTAATGGGCTCTGTTCTAACCGATCGGCCCTCCATTTCATGTGTCGCATGGCATCTCAAACGGTATACTCAAGAAGATATAAGACATATCAGCTCAGGAGATATGGGGGATGGATTATTCATGTTTCTAGTTTATGAATTCGAGATAAGGCTCGGTGGTCGGTTCGGGGAGCGGAACTCTGGGCTTAGGCTGCTCCCAGTTCACTCCGGGAGCGCGATCGGGCAGTGTTATCATTAGTTTTTAGGGGCTGTAGTGCTTAGATTTCATGACTACGAGATTTGAATTTCATTCTAATGCTATAAAACACACGGCTATTGCCCAGTAATCTTTGTATATAAGAGTGAGCCTCCGTACACGGGTGTTGAAGAACAATGATGCGGAAGGAAGATAATATCGGAGCTGCATTTATGCTCCGTCTCACTGTACTAATAAAATAGGTCCTATATATACCTCAACTCTTGTATATACAGATTGAAGTGGCCTCTCCAGGGTAAAGTACATACATCTAGGCAGTGTACCCGCCCCGCTGCTGTAAGTTCTCAATACGACCAAGCAAGAACTCCAGCTGGCGATATGCCGCGCCGGGAACATACTGGGGGATTTCTATGCTCATTGTCAGCACCATAATCCAATTACCAACAGCGACTATGGAGTTTCAACTTACCATGACCAGCCAAGTAAACACTGGAGAAAGTCAATCCACGCTCGGTATGAGCTGTACCTAGAAGTCCCGCACCAGCGATCAGTGTGAATGGCTCCGGGGCGTCGCCATTGGCGAGCTCCGCCAGACCATAATGGTAGGGGACATAAAGCGGCTCGACAGGAGGCTTCTGGAACCCTTGAGCACCGTTCCAAGTCATGTTCTGGATTGTCACCAATGATCCGTTCAGGAAAAGGAGGTAATCAAGCCATCCGTGACCAATGATCGTGTTGTTCGTCCGCTCAATCACGCTGGGGAGGGGACCCAGGGCACTGGGGGGAGATTGATCACCATTCTTGAAGATGGTCGTTTCTCCGCAGACGGAGTAATCCGTGCGAGGGACGTGAAGGGCCTTTTGGACGTCAGTGCGGTTGAAGTAGTTGTTGGGCCCGCCTGCAAGAGAAGGGAAGCCCATCTCGCTCCAGAGATAAGGGCAGTAGTCTGTTAAGTGGTAGAAGTTGAAGCAAGGGTTGACATCGTAAGCAGCCGCAACAATATCATCCCAGATAGCGCACTCCGAGTTGATCTCCGGAAGCACAGGGAAGTCCTTCGGGGGTGGGTAAGTCAATGCCTCATCAAGGAACTTGTTGAAGCCACACTTGTCCGCACGGGAGTTGACATCGGCCAGAAATGTGTCGTTCAAAGCGAAGACATTTGTGTAATGGTTCAGATGCCTAACGGCCGGGGCTGTAGTATTGTCAGAATAGGCATCAGCGCGAGTGTCAAAACACCATGCAAAGCATACCATAAATCATCACGGAGTCATCGTTAATCGATGGGTCGTTGATCTGAATACCCTTCACATTGAAATACTTCTCATCTTCTTCATCCAACATTGCCGAAGCGATATACGGGATGTATTGCCCGGCATAACTCTCACCGGTCAGATACACCTTGTGGCCGTGCAGGCCGAACGTGTCGACGAAGTGCTTGAACCAGCTCTTGAACTGGGCGGCAACGCCCTCCTCGTCATCCACGGTAGACGGGCCAGGAGAGAAGCCCGTTCCAGCCGGCTGGTCGATATACACCACATTTGTCAGGTTAGTCCACGAGTATGGGTTCCGAGCAGGTTTGTAAGTGCCCGGAAGCCAGAGGAAGGGTCCATTTTCCTGCAGCAATCCATCGAGGGAACTGCATCCTGGTCCACCGTTCAGCCAGATTGTGATCTAGAGGTGTATTAGATTTCAGAAGACTACAGCTACCCCATTACATTGGCGGGCAATGCATACCTCATCCTGTGCCTTCGGGTTCTGAGAAGGGAAGAACCAGAAGAAGAGGCTAGAGTTCCCAGCGGGTGAGTTGGGCAAGAGACCTGCGTAAGATTCTCCGACGTCAAAGTCCACTTCTGGGATGCCAGTGCCGTTGACAAGGAACCCTACACGGGACACGAATACATCAGCATTATTACCCCAACTATCTTGGGATTGTCAAACACTAACTCTCGGTCCTGTTAGTCAAGTACTTGTAATCCTCACCCCCAGCCACCGGGAGTGCACGAGGCAACACTGCCTTGTGCTGGTGAGCTCGGTGAACGGCCTTGGCTTTGCGATGAGGATTCTCCAAGCTGACGGCAGAGCCGACCAGCAAAAGAGAAGCGATAGCCGTTACCGCACGCATCGTGGGTAAGTTTTGCCAAGTTGAACAAGGAACCCGTGAGCACAACCGCAGGATCGATCGACAAGGGGGGGGGGTCTCCTCGTGCTCTTTTTAAACGACGAGAAACAGGCAGAAACAAATACGATGCACATGAGCAGGGGTGGAGAAGCTTTTCCCCAACAGACAAGCATTGGGAAGCTTTCATGGCTTCTAAGGTCGGTGGCAATCCTTTCCTCGATCAGGAAGGTAGCTGTGGATAGCTCAGATATGCAGCACCATACCCCGACGGAGATCCGACTGCGGACCCAATCCCAAAGCTCATTTTATCTCGCCGGCTACTCCGGCTGGTACCTCCATCTCTCCCATTGGGGGTTGGGTTGCATGTGGAGCTCCATCGGGATGCAACAGTTGATACCTGAAGCCAATAAACGCGACGATACGGCTCAGGGAACGAGTAGATCGCGACATCCATTTCAATGTTGTGACCCACATCTGCAGTGTTGGAACACCGCCAATTAGTTGGACCTGTCTCCTCATGGTTCAATGCAGGTTAGTTTCTCTTACGCGAGGACGAAAGAGGGGTCAAGTAAGGATAGATGCAATAATAAGAAATCTGTTGGGTAATGGAAAATGATTGATGCCCTGTCCCTTCGGAGAACAATCCCATGTACCCTATGGAGCTCTCCGTACTTAAATCATCGCTACAATGATGTCTCCTAATTAACTGAGCACGCAATGCCATAGCGATATCCTTGCTAGGTACCCAAACCAAAGGCACTAGCGATATGATGCAGTTAGTCAGGGACCCGGGGATCATACCACGCTGTCTGCAACATAGGAACAGCTGTACATTCCCTCCATCGAGGGATTAACCCGAAGGCGCAAAAACCGAAACCCCTATTATGGATGACATTCAACGTCGTATGACTTATGCAAATATGTTCAGTAAATATACAGGCATTTTATGAACCGACAAGACCAAAATATGCCAATCTCGCCCCAAACGCCTGGTATAATCGTCCCTTCGAAGACAAGAATTTCTCACTCAAAATAACATCATACAAATAATGAGCTATTGGGCGCAATCCCCTCCAGCCCAGACTCCCCGTCAATCATCGGCCAAAGTCGCCGAATTCGGTCGTCAAGGATCAGACTCTCAGCTTCCCATCTCTTCCGCTCCACGGACTTAGCGTCGATCTGCTTCTGGCCGCCGAACCAGGCGCGTCCGGCATTCTGAATGCTTTCCTGCTCTTCTTTCTCAGCCTTGGCGACAAGTCGGGAGACCATCGTCTTCCAGTTCTCCAAGCCTACGCGGAGGCACTCCGCGCAGCGGTGTCGGGGAATACGGTCGGATTCGCCGAGCTCGAGCATGGTAGCTTCGGCGGTGTCAACTGCGTCGCGGGTCCAGGCGAGGCCCTTTTCTTTTGAGGATGAGGCGTAGATAATCTCACCAATGTAAGTCATGAGTCCTGCCTCGTCGCAGGCGGAGGTAGCATTTCGGAGTGGCGGTTCGTCTCCAGATGGGAGCGGTGCGGGATATTCAACGGGAACTAGCATGATCTTAATCGAGTCGAAAAGGTAACGGAACGGGTCCTTAGACTTGTGTAAAGATGGAAGTTTTGGGATAGTTGTGTCAGGAGGTGACGGCGGTAGAGAACGGCGAGCTTTCAGAACGGAGGTAAAGATGGAGAGAGCGGTGGGAAGGTTGTTATGTCGGGCATGGTAAACCGCAAGCGCGGTCGAGACACGCAGTATATTTTCCGATGGCGAGGACTTGCCATCATTTTTCAGAACTCCCGTTTTCACATCCACCACCTTCCCAGCGTCAACCAGTGACCCGGAGGCCGCAATGTCCATGGCCCAATTGTACATGTCGCTCGCAGTATCCTGCAGACCCTTATAATCCAGCCAATCCGCATAAGCGAGGGCAGCATCCAGCTTCTGTCGAGTATCAAATCCACGTGTAGTCAGGATCTTCATGTAGAAGACCTCGGGGCTCGGAGAAGCCTGCTCGCAATCCTCCTCCTGCGGCACCTTTTTCTGACCCGCAGGCATAGGCTTCGGACGAGGGTTCGAGGGACCGACAACATATTCCGCCGGCGCAGAGATACGCTGCTTCCGATCTGTCAACCATCCCTCGAGATTCTCCGCCGCTTTCGCGGCACCCATCAGCGCCTGGAAGTACCCTCTCCGCCACGGCTCACTCTTGCTCGACACATCAAACCCGGTCTTCCCCACACCCTCCACCAAAAACCCGCCATCCCCTTGCTCAATAACCCCCTTTCCTTCACCCGCTGGATCCTCCAACCGCTCCAGCAACTCCTTCAGATACCCCGCAACCATAGGCCAATTGGTCATCAGCTTCCCGATATCCTCGGGGTGCTGCAGCGCCTGCGCAGAGCGCAAGCACCACCGGCTCTTCCACGACCACTCCGGCGGTGTAGGCCATTGATGTTCGATTTCTTCCTGATAAACACCCAGCTTGATCACCTGGAACAGAACCAGGATAGCATAGAACGACAGGCCGATTCGGAGGCCGCGGGAAAGACGCCGTTTGTAATGTTCGCGACTCTCGGTCGAGATCAACCGCGCAAAATGCTGTCGGAGATGAATCGACAATGGCGGCACAGGGCGGCTGCTTGCCAATGGGGAGAGGAAAGGAAGCTGTGGCCTGACGTACGGGGGGGTTATGAGCTCGAGTCGGGACTTTGCCGTGAACGGGCGAGATGGATGGCGTAAACCGTGCGTGCCTGGGATCCGGGTTGGCCGGATGGCCCCCGGTATCCGACTTGGAAGGCGTCGGGGTAGCATCTCTGGATGCTTGGGGTTTTGTGTTGCTGAGCTCGTGGACAGTCAATTCCGCTTTTCTGTGGTTGGAGGATGTTTTGTCTGTTTGCATGATTTGCATGGTTTGCAATAAGTTTTACCCGCGGGATTAAATGAGCCGTTCGTGGATGGCTAACCCAACCATGAATTGTTCTGAAAAATTTAGAGAGAATATATATATGGATTGAGTATATGGAGGAGGTATTTCATCCTACGCTGTCAATACGTACACCCCGATCGCTATCATGCTAGCGACAAGTTTACTCGCAACATGGGCAAGTACTCAAAACTTCACGAATCAGTGGGAATCAAAGGTAGTTCATTAAAGCAAAAACGTTCTATGATATCTTCCAACACTTGGTTCAAAATCACTTTAACATTCATTACAAAAAAAAAGGCCCATTCCAGAACACCTAAACTCTAAGCGCGGTCAAAGTAACCCTCAGTCTCAAGCAGAAGGATGATCTCGTGGACAATGCTGCGGACAGTCTGCTTGGAGACATCAACGGTGAGGTGAGCGTTCTCAGGAGCCTCATAAGGATCATCAACACCAGTGAAGCCCTTGATCTCGCCGGCACGGGCCTTGGCGTAGATACCGCGCTTGTCGGTCTTCTCACAGTACTCCAGAGGAGTGTTGACGTGGACCAGGAAGAAGGAACCGTGCTGGGAAACGGCCTCACGAGCGGCCTTCCGAGAGTGCTCGTAGGGGGCAATGGGGGCGGCGATGACAGCAGCACCAGCCTTGGTCAGCTCGCTGGCAACGAAGGCGATACGCTGAATGTTGGTGTGGCGGTCCTCACGGCTGAAGCCAAGCTCGGAAGAGAGCTCGTGGCGGACAGTGTCACCCAGGAGGAGAGAGACAGCGCGACCACCCTGCTGGTTCAGGGTGACCTGCAGAGCACGGGCGATGGCGTCCTTGCCGGAGTTCTGGTAACCAGTAAGGAAGACGGTGAAACCCTGGGTGTTACGCGGGGGGCTGGATTCACGCAGGATCTTAACAACTTCGGGGTAAGAGAACCACTCGGGGATGTGGGCACCAGTGCGGAGGCGGTTGCGCAGCTCGGTACCGGAGATATCCAGAGTCTTCACACCGGCAGGAACCTCATCCTTAGGCTTGTACTCATCGGTGTCCGGCAGGTATGTGACCTGCTGGAACTCGACAACCTCGATACCCAGCTCGTCCTTGTACTTCTCGACAGCGTGCTGAGCGTCGTAAGGACCGTAGAACTCCTCGCCCTTGGAGTTCTTACCGGGACCGGCGTGGTCACGGCCAACGATGAAGTGGGTAGCACCGTGGTTCTTACGGATGATGGCGTGCCAGATGGCCTCACGGGGACCACCCATACGCATGGCAAGGCCGAGCAGACCAAGGACGGCCATTCCGTTGGGGTAGCGAGGCAGGAGGGCCTGGTAAGCGCGGACACGGGTGAAGTGGTCAATGTCACCAGGCTTGGTGAGACCGACAACGGGGTGGATCAGGACGTTAGCCTGGCGAGCACGAGCTGCACGAACGGTCAGCTCACGGTGAGCTCTGTGCATGGGGTTTCTGTAGTTGGCTGTTAGCACAAGATCACACATGGGGATATCATTCAGGCTCGGCGACAGTACCTGGTCTGGAAAGCGACAACTCGGGACCAGCCGAGCTTGTCGAAGTGGATGCGCAGCTCTGCGGGGGTGTCTTAAAAACATGTCAGTACTCAATGTCCAGGCATCTATTCGTACGCCAGTGACAATACGTACAGCGCAGAGCAACATAGTCGTAGTGGTTCAGCTTGTTGACCGCCTCGATCTTTCCACCGATGTAGAATTCCTCAATCTTGGTGTTGAGGTACTTGATGGCAGGGTGCTCAGGATCACCGCCAAAGACCAGCTTGGCTTCCTTCTCCCTAAACCAGGAATTCAATTGTCAGTCATCTGCATTACCTAACCGCATGCGAAACCGCGCTCCAATGCAAAGGAGAAGCACTCACTTGTCAGCGCGGTAGATATCGTCGATGGTCAGGATGGCCAGGTTACGGTCATCACGGAAGTCGCGGAGGGTGACGCGAGAGCCAGCCTGCAGCTTGAGCTCGCTGATGAGCTGTTGAGAGGCATCGAGAGTAATGGGCATGGAGAAGAGGTTGCCATCGGCAAGACGGCAGTTCTCACAGACACTAACCAGGCGCAAAACGTTAGCGGATTGTTCTGGCACCTTG